TCATGTGGAAGGGGTGAAATGGAAAGCTGTAACAAACAACTTCTGATGAATCGGTACGAGAAAGAGACATTTTTAACAAGTCCGTATCATCAACTAGCTTTGCACATTTTTCTCTGTGGACTCAACCCACAAGAAATGGTACTATTGCAGAGAGCACTTTATAACAATAGGTTTTCTTCCGGAAACTTCTTGGCAAATAATCAAGAATATCAATCAAAGTCTTTTATGCTACAATACATTGTAAGGAATTTCCGAAATCTATACCAATTTATATATACAGTATACAATTATAATTTCAGAACTACAAAAATATATAAGGAGCTTGGTTACAAGCTTTTCAGTATCTGTGAAAATGTAAGAGATTACTACTTAGGCCCCTGTGTGGTATACAGAATTGACGCCCAAGAAAGGAGAAACATACAGTTGTATTTTGAAGACATGAAAAAATGTTTACAAGCAATGATATTTCGTGATCCCGTGCAACATCTGAAGAAGCTTTCGGAAGAAATGAGAGTAAAAATTTATAGTAACCTCTCTAAAATCGAGAATCCAAAGGAAACTCGGCATTTTCGGGCGTTATGTGACAAATACGTTGTACTACAAGCACTGACATTGGATGCACTTACAAATAAAACCAATGAAATCAGCCCCGATGATCAACTGTTTGAGAATATGGAATCGATTATTTCAATGACGTCATGTCCGGACTTGTCTAGATGTCTGTTAAATGGTAGGAAGGCGGTCGTCTTGTCATTCGCAAACAGAAAAGATGATGGAGAGGGGGTAGTGTTACAAGCTTTAACTGATGCCGCCAATGTAACAGGCTGCTTAGAAATCGTGGACATGCACTATAAAATAGTCCTATTCCGGAGGGCATGGTTTGAAAAGTTTCCACAGATAGAATTGAATTTCATATACGAGCACCTTCAAACCGCTTTGCTCATCCTTCAAAATGAACCCGACGACGTACGGATGCACTGGACAAGACAATTCATATACCGTTTTCTTTGCTGTCTTTTGGGATTATGCATGCGCTGTCGTTTTCTTCCCAATTTTCATCTATCAAAGCGTGTCCTGCAAGAAGCAGAGCGTTTACTCAAAGAGTATGGAATGAAAGAGGCAGAAGGCCGAGTCCAAATGTTTTATTTTATTCTGAAATCTCGATTGCACCAATTAAAATGTGAGAGTAATCTAGCCATAGATTACATAGAAAAGGCCGAGGCACTTGCAAAAACTGGGCAATATAATGAACTAGAGGTCATTGTGGACGCAAAACAACGTCTTTACCTTCCGGATGCTCCATCTTTATCAACCGATACTGAAACCACTGATTATTTTCAAGGTGAATGTGCTAAACTGACACTTGATCTTCCGCCTGCGTATCACCTTCCGTACATTGATGATCACAGTAACTATGTGTCGTTGACAAATTCTAGCCCGGAATCAAGTTATCAAGAGTCCAACTCGAATACTGATTGAATTCTTTTGTTCTTTGTTTTTTTTTCAATGAATATACCTCCATCTGTCTTATATCATCAAAAAAAAAAAAAAAAAAAAAAAACCCATTAAGTATTCAAACTCAAAAGTCCATTAAACATTACAAATTACATGAATTAGAAGGAGAGCAAACACTGACCTCAGGAAATAACGAAAAAATCGATCCGTCGTCAATTCACTGTGTAAATAATGGGCTTACAATTAGTATGAAAAACCACAGGCACCTGATGTTACTTATTTTTCTTTTAATAAAAAAAATATACATACTTAATAATAAACAGTTTATTATTAGGTATGTGGATATTTTTTTTATTAAAAGAAAAATAAGTAACGTCAGGTGCCTGTGTGAAAAACGTCTGTCAGCAGTTAACTTAATGATAGATTGTAAATGCTGAGGTCATTGTATCGACCATAGAACTTACGAAATTATGACTTTAAAACGAGACTGCTGATATTCTTCTTTCATCAACTTGTTTGTCAACTTACCTCGTTTTAGAAGAAGCATGCTCTTGCTTATCGAATCAACTGAGAGATATAAACCTTATATGCAGGTGATGGAGGTATATTGCTGCATAAGTAAGGGAAGTTGACGATTGAAAAGTTAAAGTCGTCGCATATATCAAAAAGCTTCGTTGTTAGATTACCATTTTTCTATTAAAATATCCAAATATGATGTGTCAGACTCTGTGGTATCTTTCAAGTTCGACACGAACCTCTGGAAATTGTAGAGGCTGGATCAGGTGCCTAGGATTAAGCATCCTATGTTGACCAGTCACACCCGACGTTAGCCCTTGTATTAATGTTCCGTTGTCAAATTCAGTAAAAAAACAGGCCTTTGAAACGTGTGAGCAAATTAAAATAGGAGACTCAGTGAGAGATAATTTTTGCTAACAAGGTCAATATAACAACCACAGAATTTACGAAATGTTGACTTTAAAAGGTTGTTGAAATCACTGTAACATCAACTTATCAGTCCGTAGCCTGTCTCAGATTAAAACTAGAGGTACTGTGAGCAATGAGCTCACTAAATGATACCCCGCCTCCCATATGAATATAATGACAGTGTCCATGATTTGCTATGGGAAACCTAAAATATGTGTGGGATCAAAAGGTAAAATAGGAGGTGCACAATGACAATATGTAATAAAGATTCTGTGAAAGTTTCATCAAATTTCATTCAGTGGTATGAGAGGAGTTGCGAATATAAGAAATGGGTACCCCAAAGCATAACAGACGGACGGACAGACAGACGGATGGACAGCTAGACGGACGGACATACCGATTACTATATACCCTACCACTTTTCAAGCAGGGGATATAATTAAATGTACATAAAGCATGCTCTTGAGAATCGAATTAGCTGGGAGATTTTAAAACCACATACAGGTGATAACGGGATATTCAACATAATAAAAAGGAAGCTGGCGATAAAAAGCTGAAGAAATAATTTTTTTATGAAAGGTTTAATAAGAAACGTGGATGAACTGAAAATTAATGCCAAATAGCAAGTCATAACAATGTCAGTAGCATTCTTCCCATATTCATTTTAAAAAAATTTCAATAACCAAAAGAAATTTTTTTAAGACAAAAATTTAAAATAGATTATGAAATTAATATGTATTTTTGTTTTATCACAATTGATAACCTAAGATTTTGTAGCAGTTGTGACATTACTCTTGCATCAACTCTTGCATGTAAACTCGCATGGTTTTTCACATAAATTAACGTCACTTTGTTATTAACAAGGCAACATATTATATTTTAAAATTGATTTCTAACTTACTTTATGTTTAATAAACTAACTTAAAACATAATTCACACATAATTGCTGGTAGGATTTTGATACACTCTTGGCGCATGGATCCCAAATGGTTTTTCGTTGTTTCTCGTCAAATGTAGCCGTCTATGTGTCCGTTTTTGAAAGCAGTTCTTTGCTTTGCATTGACTCAAAAACAATGCAAATCATGAAACTCCTGTATTTCTGTACAATAACATGACTCTATAAAGCGCAAGATAATATTAGTATTTCTCATTTGTTGGACTGCTTTTTATGTTAAAAAGCTGGTATTTTTTGGGGTTACTTTCTGAATCTAGCATCATGAAAGATACATCCGACCACAGACAGTAAATGTAAAAGAATTTTCATTTCAATGGTAACAATTTACTATTTTAGAAAGATGAACCATACTTTTTTATCCTGTCTTTTGACATGATTTCTTTATGCAGCATTGTCATTTTTCGGCGCTACATTTCGACAAAAATGGAAAATGTGCAAAGTACTTCGAAAAATACTCATCTTTAGGATGTCAATTTGAAAATTTCAACTAAATAGTATCAAAGAAAACTGGATTATTTTAATTTGTAAATACAAATGGTGAAATCATACAGATGTAGCATCAAGTCATTTATTAATGAAGTCCCATTAAAACATCGACTTTTAAACTTTAAGATAATGAATATAAAGAATATGTACCTTTAACATGAGGTATTAAATATATATTCGGGCTATGTCTCGTATTAAAGGTCGATAACGTTCATTTATTACAAAAAAAGGTGACCTTAATTTGTGCGAAAAACCATGTGAGCGTAGAAAGTGCGTTGATCTGTACTGTTAAAAAAATTATTAGGGAGAAGCAAGAAGGCTCTTTCTGTATCTGACATTAACTACATGTACATACATTTAAGGTTTTTTATGTTATTTTACATATCCAGCTAAGGCCCAAAAAAAATTAATAGTTTCTCAGGCCAAAAAATTCTAAATTCAATGCGACGAGCAGTTTTTTTTTTTTGGAAGCAGTTTTTACACCTTTTTTAAAGGCATTTGTTCAACAAAATGATAATATCTACTAATTCTTAATACATGTATTTGTTCTCTCTCTGAAATTAGTTATACCATGTATTCAACTTTAAATAATGTAATTCTGAACATTTATTTAAAAGTTAAGTCATAAAATACTGTAAATTTAAAAGAAATATATTGTTTATCTAATAAAAACGTCTATTTTAGCATTTATGAAAAGGAGAATAACTCAATTTTCTTTTTCAACATGGAAAAATAGAAAATCGAGTCATTTTCCCTTTTCAATAAAATTGATCAATGCAGCCGTTTTTGAACTGATACGGCAATGCCTGAGAAACTATTGATTAATTTTTTTTTGGTAAATAGCTTTATTTATTCTGAGCTAAACTGCGATTGTTCGTTATTATTGAATATAAAAAAGAGAAATTGTTTCAATTTTATGCTTCTGCCCTCCACATCTTTAAGAAAAATTGCAATCAATTGTTTCAACATTCTTAATCATTTCTTTCAATTTAATTTACAAAAGAAAATTAGACTTGTGCTTTCATTCTTTTATTACTTTTTTAAGTAAGTATTTGTTCTTAAAAATCCTAGATGGACACACCAGCTGTGTGTGACCTTGGACGGAATGAAGATGTCGTCGTTCTACACTAAATGTTATAGTCACAGCTCAGAAGCAATGATCATGTCACGTTTCACTGATCTTAACTTAAAATGTCAGAACATAAATAAATGTATCACAGATATAAATAACCCTAGAGATTCGGTAGCGGTCAGTGTCCGGAGTACTGTGAACGTCCCCGCGGGCGTTCTGACCTCTCGGGTTTGTCACTAATTCCCGCTCCAGAGGGCGCTGGTGTTCTTTCAGGCCTTTCTCTCTCTTTCTGATATTCCATCTCTATTTTAGCATCTATCTTCTCCCAGTCAATCTCAATCTGTAAACGAGTGAAGACAAACCATACACTTAACCTCTTTATATTCCAATCAAAAGGGGCATTACAATCTAAAATTTATACTGGTGGAAATATGACTATCATATTTTACTTATATACATTGAAGAAAACAGGACTCACCCCTTCACTGTACTGTAGGAAGCGTTTGTTTTTCTCCTTCTTCTCAAACCTCTCTAGATACCTTTGTCTGTAGCCGAGCACTGTGTCTACATGTGTCTTATGTTTGACAGCCAACTCTAGGGCCCTATTAAAATCAAAACATTTGCCATGTTTATTATATTTTATACAACTTTATGGCACAATTTAGAAAAAAAAATTGGCTAAAAAATACTCATTTCTTACATAGAACTAGAGGTCTAATTTATGAGAGTTAGTGAGCGTTGCAAAACTTTATTCAAAAAGTTTATACCATCTAAAAGAATCTTGATTTTTAAAATCACTTTTGACTTTCTGAACACCACTGTTTACAAGTACCTGTCCCATTTGTACACTACATGTAATGTATTTATATATTTACCTGTCCCAGTTGTAGAGCTGTACACTATTTACCTGTCCCAGTTTAGAACTGTACACTATTTACCTGTCCCAGTTGTAGAGCTGTACACTCTGTGTTATATATTTACCTGTCCCAGTTGTAGAGCTGTACACTCTGTGTTATATATTTACCTGTCCCAGTTGTAGAGCTGTACACTATGTGTTATATATTTACCTGTCCCAGTTGTACTGGATATATCCTTAATGTTCACTATGTGTTATATATTTACTGCACCTTCTCTGCCTGCACAAATACACAACACTAAACTATACCACCATCACAAAATACATCTATTATTATACACAGAAATGTTCTGGATATTTTATTCACGATTATTCTCTGCCTACACAAATACACAACACTAAATTACTGTGACCAAACTTATACCAACATCACAAAATGTTCTGGATATTTTATACTTATTGAACTACAGTTCTGCAATTTATAATACAGGTGTATCTTTGACATTTTAAATATATTTTACATTTATGTTACAGTGGACTTTTAATTAAATTGTTACCTCCTTGATGGCTGCATAAGCAATTTCTGCGGTGTTCAGTTCTTTAGCATAAGCTGACATGGCCGCCAGACAACACCACAATACATCATCCTGTTTAGAGTTATGACAATAGGTTAAAAGTAGAAACATAAACACAAAACATCAACCTATTTAAGATTTAACCACATTTCTACAGATGAAATGTGGATTTAAACATGCTATGATATTCAAATACAACAGATAAAATACTGCATGTATACAAGGTATGTCATCTTTGTTTGTAATTTCTTGTGTAATTTCTTTACCAATATTACATATGCATTACATGTAATACTGAATTAAAAGAAAAAGTAGTACATTATCTCAAATAAACAGTTCTTTCTTTATATACCTTAACAAATCGACAGAGTCTCACGGCGTCGTCCCAGCGTGAGTTTTGGACGTAGCTGTGTAGAATTGCGGGGTACGGAGAGATTCCCGTCCCGACCAGAGAACCCTCGGCCCGACGAATGATGATGTGGTTACCGATAAAATTCAACAGCTGTGGATTCTTACCAAACTCACTGAAATCAAATCAGGTCAACAATATTATAATCTGGAAACAAGCAATACATTGCTAAAAGGATGAATCTGAAATTACTAATGTTAGTTTTTCTGTCCTTCTTTATAGAAAGTGGTTCAATGACAAATTGAACAATATCCTATATACTTTTAAATTGTTAGTGTACATCATTAATATATCTAAAACACTGATTTACAATTTTGAACGCCAACTGAAATAATCATGCAATTTATATCTACTCTCTAATAAAATAGTGTATAAATCTATAATACATGCAAAGCCTTTTTAAACTTGTACTAAATTATAAATATCAACAAATTTTATTAAGGTTCTGAAATGATTAACAAAAAAATATTACACAAACTTGTCATATAACTTCCTTTTTAAAGCACTGCATTTTTAAAATTTCACAAATAAAATATGAAAAGAAAAAAGCATTTTCTACCTGTAAATCATAACATTGATTTTAATAAATCCCTGATAAAGAATTAAACCAACAGGGGGTTGTCTCCAATAACCAAGTGCCAAACAAAGATAGAATAATGAATCAGAGAGTATTTAAGGTATTTGGTGAATTATAACATTGTACCAAATCCAAGAAATAGTATTAATATATGTTTCTGTATTGCACAAAATCTCCCCTGTATATATGTATAAATAAAGAGCCACTAAACACTAATATACATGTAGTAGTACTGGTGTAGATGTCTTACCTTTTACTAATGAACAGCAAATTTAAATGTTAACATAAAAGTTATATGTAAGTCACATGTAACCAGATTCAATAATCAAAATATTTTTTAAAGACATGGTTAAATTATGATTACATAGCTAAATCAACAAAATCTTTAAGTAAAACGAAGTCTTACACTTTACAAAGTATTATTATTTTACCTATATGAAATATTTATACAAGTTTGGTTTGTGTTGGGATTTTTTGGGTACTTGATAATGGATTAAAAATCTTTTTTTTCTGTTCAAGCATAGAGAAAAGAAAGATTCAGCATGTACACCATGTCTGGAAGTATACATCTGAAATCTATTATACATGCAAGTTACAGTTAACTGTACATGAGAACTGAACTACTCAAAAAACTTAACCTTGTCATTCAGACACAAAATGTAGGTCAGACATAGCACCCAAAGCATTTGATTGTGTGATTCTTATATGCATCATCCAAGTATGTATGGTTGACAATTTTTATTAAACATGTAGTTACATTGGAATGAACCAGCACTAAAATCTCTGGAAATATAGGTCAGATACAGCATCTGAAGCAAGTCTGCAAACACTGAAAGTGTGCATCCCAATATGTCTCTTCCATTCAAGTTTGGTCTAGGGGAAGCCATTAGTTTTTTTGGCAGTGAGACCTGCTTCAAAAACTTTTAACTGCTCCAAACAGGTTAAAATGGTCTTTCTTTGGCTGAAAATTCCACAACTGAAACCTCTTTGGTGTCTATAAAACATCCAGGCAACTCTGATCAATACAGGAGAAAGACGTACTTGAAAAGAAAACTGCTCCAAAACTTTATCATTGGATGCACCCAAACTTTGTTAAGGTGAGCTGACAAAAAATTAATTTTTTTCAGAACAGAGAAATTTGTACCTTGCTTCTTTTTCAAACACAGTTCTGCTGGCTAAGTCACGATCCACATAAATCGTGTTGGGGTAGTACCATACTGTGAACTTGCCATCAGCCAGTGCGGCTAACATGTTGGCCGAGTCATTCCAACACAGTGATTGGATCATGTTTCCTGTAATAAACCACACCGACTCAATAAACACATCACAAGGAATAACAATAGAGAATGCCAGATTGTTAAGAATGGGCATTTCACCATGAATAAAAACACCATAAATGTAGTTAAATAACTAAAAGTTAACATTACTTACCATCCATCAGGCTTTATATTGAATTTTTTACATGGAAGTCCCAAAAATAGTTATTAGAATTCTCTTGATTTTTTTAAGGGTGCTAAATATAATGTGACCCCCCCATTGTCTACTAGCAGTAAATTTCTCAAGCTTACCTAATTTATTGGACTTTCTCTCAGTCCCAAACACTCGTACTGAGGTCAGATAGAGGTCTCTGTTCTTGTCTATGATGGCCAGTCTCCTCTCAGTGGCGGGACCACACTGGTCTAGAGCTATCTCCATCACCTCCAACTGAGGATATCAATCAAGAAAGTCAGTTTAGATAACTTCATTTACTGCATTATCTTAATGATAGCTATACAATAAAGCAATCCTACCCTCATCCAAACCATAACCATTACCACCCTTTCACACACACACCCCCCCCAAAAAAAAAAACCCAAACAATTTTATACCTTGTGTGTGATTGGTTTTCCATCTCCTAGTGGTTTTCCATTTTGTGCATCAAAGACATATATGACTATACAAATAAAAAAAATATTTTTTAACATGAAAAAAAAATCTCACACATAAATATCATTTTTTAACATGCTGTCAAATTTTTTAAGGAATTTCAATTAATCATTAATTTCTATACTTGATTCAAAGACTTAAAAATGTCAATTTTTCAATGAACAAATTGCTGTACCTTTCTCATCTGTTTTATCTCTGATGGCCACTGTATCATTGCTGAGAGAAACTGTCTGATAATTCAAAATATCTGCTCTCATGCCAGGGTATTTAGGAGAGCAAACCATTCGTCCATCATACGAGTAGATGTATACATTAGAACTATCTACCAGCATGAAGTGCCTATAAAAATTACATACATGTATGTTCATTAGCTTTCAATGATTGTATTGTAATTCTTTTAATTCATAAATTTTAAATAAAATTTTAGCTATATTATATGTCATCTTTTTTCTTAGTTTAAGATGTGTTAAATGAAGAAGTCTGTCAACTACAGTGTAATAATCAATTGAAAAAAAAATTTTACTTCTCTGCCTGAAGAATCAATGATATGTTGCCTTCCTTCATATCAAATATCATAGGAGTATTCCAATTCTTGGTGCTAAAAGGTTTAAAATAAACTGAAATTACCAATAAGTACCAGTTAAATGTTACAATATATACTGTAAAACAGCTTTTATTTGTGTGCCATAAATATCAGCAAATTTTCCGACCTTCTTTAACGTTAATATATTTATCACTGAAAACCTTGTATTTTGCATTGCATTTGTAGAGAATTCCAGCGATTGTCACAAAAATTAACTGTCACTGATTAATTTCACACTGCCAAAATGTGAGCAATTAATAGCTGGTTTACAGCCATTTATTAACAATCGAGACCTTTTGGTGTACATATTAAGAGAAAATAGCCAAATTTAATGGTGACAATATAGCTTTTTACAAACAATGAATCCCACTCATTTGTAGATGTAACACTGTGAAGCTGTGGCCACTACCAGATGATTAAAACACAAGGAGACCTTGATGACCCTGTCTCTAAAGTCCAGCTTCTCCACGGCTTCATTCATCACATTCCGCACCTGGATTTGTTTGCTCCCTACAACCACTGCCTCATAATTCTTCCACTCCAAACGCCTGTAAATAAAAAACAGGAGGTGTCAGAAAATAAAATATAAATATCATAACAAAACAAAATTGTGACCAAACACTGCAAGATAAAGGTTAAATTGTAGACATGGATCTGAATACCAGTGCTTACTTTTCTATGACATGGGCTATCAGCACCTGACCATTCCCACAAGCACCTGCCACCTGTGTACCATCACTGGACCAAGCCAGCTTAAACAGACTGCCTGTGTTAGGTTTCTCCAGAGAGTATGACCACTGGTAGAGAAATAAAACTTTAGGTAAAATATACAAAATTCATTATAACATGAATCATTTACTAGTATTGTGCTGATCTCTTACCCCTGCCTGATCACAGAGTCGGAGTGTGTTAAATGATCCCACAGCAAAAAGTTCTCCGTTAGGGGTCCAGGCTACAGAGGTTATGGGATAATCATGGACAGAACTGCTGTACATAATACGGCCATAGGTATCCCACACCTGAACAATAAAAAATATGACCATAAATATCCCAGACCTGAACAATCAAATCAGTTATATAATACAATAGGTGTCTCATACCAGTTTATATTATATAACTATAGGTGTCCCAGACCTGAAAAATCGAATCAGTTAATTAAATAATTCTACGGTTAGGCTTTGCAATATGTAGTAGTAAGCATGGTAAACTTGATCTTTGATTCAAATACTACAGGTATTACATTTTTAAAAATCTTTTTTTTTTGTTTGCATAGCTGAGCAAACCTTGTAGCGACAGTCCTCTGCCCCAGACAGAATGAGATTGTTTACAGGGTTCCAGTCAACATTCAATATGACACCGTCATGGGCCTTCCACTGAAAACAAATCACTAAAACTGAATATCAAGGACAGAGATAAAAATTTTTTTAATCAAACATAAAATACATAGATTTTTTGAAAATTATGATAAATATTTTACCATTATGGCATACATTATTTGATATGCAATGTTCACAATGCATTGAAACATCTTTTGATCATTCAGTCACATGCCTAGATGATAAACTGTTTACATTCTTACCATTGTTGGTTTGGCGTTTGCCTGCAGTGACTTTATGACCAGTTGTCTCCCATTTGTAAACAAAACCTGGTCTGAATCGGGTCCCCAAGCCACACCATAAACCGTGTTACCTATAATTTCATATCACACTCAGTAATATCGTGTTACCCACAAGTTATATCACAGTCAGTGAGTAATATTTACAGATACGAAATTCTTCTCACAGAACTTCCTAATAAGACTAAAACATAATTTTTCCAAATTATTTTCCTCTTTACATTCATTTGAAAAAAAAAGTATTTAATATAATTGTTTAAGAATTTGAATCAGTATATTGAAAAGCAATTTTAAAGTTAAATATAAGATAGACAAGATATTAGAAAAAGCTAAACTTGGTCTAAGTTACATGTAAATTGATTTTGCAAAAGAGATTTATGTATTTTGAGCTAATACATGATTATTATATTTTTTTCTGTATATTCATACAAAAATTGCCTTTGTCTCTTCCTAGGTATGATGTATCAGCATCTCTGATTTTTGACTTACTGTTTTGTGTCAGTGTGGATCTCAACATTCCACTCCTTGACCAGATTTTTACTTGTCCATCTTCACCAGCTAACAAGGAAAAATAACTCATAATTCACAAAATGACAACAATAATTCTATATTGTAACCCTTTGTAATATATACTTTAGAATCATCATATTTCATGGATATCTAATGTTCACTGATTTTAACCATTAACATCCACTTGAATGAAAAATATGTTAAGTATATCAGATTCATTGAATCATCAGTATAAACAAATTAAAGTTCCCAAATTAAAGTTCCACAGTAAAAATCAGTAAAGTCACTAAGGGTAGGAAAAAGTAGAAAATGGCTTTTTATTGTTAAGTTTAAATCCAAAAGTTACCAATCATGGATTTGCTGTTTTTATATGATTTTTAAAGAATTTTCCTATATATATATATCAAAAACAGATTTTGGCCATAAAAATAAAAAATTGAAAATTAACAAAAACTTTGTCACAGTTTTTAAAGAATTTTCCTTATTTCTATGTAAAATGTTTAACATTACAACTCTTGCTTTTCATCTTTCCTGAAAAAGAAGATTTTTAAACAAGAGGCAAAATGATATCATGTAACAACTTTCCACATTTGGTAAAAAAGCCATGAAATACAATTTTGAAAGAGGCACCATTGCTTATCAAAGGGCAGATTTCAAAGCATTAATTTATTTTTAGTCAGTACCCCCTTGTACCCCTGACCCAGCAGCCCTGAAATTATCTATTTTGAAAGAGGACTTATAAGGCCAGCATTTTTTTTTTATGTTTAAGTTTAGTTATGAACATGAGAATAAAAAATCCCGAAGGAGAAGGAAATAAATTTTTTTTTTTATAAATCAATTATTATCATTTGTACATTCTTTTTTATGCTATCCTAATCATGCTAATAGACTCCTTACCACTGGACACATAATGCATACAAATAGGAAAGTAGAACATTTAATTGCTTATTATCTACCTGTTATATAAATTTTGTGATGTTGATCAAAATATATTTTAAAAAATCAATTCTTTAAAAGTCTTTCAATACATCTTCATTTTCTTAATATGTGTTAGGTGAATGTGTAGACATTGTTCTAAAATTTACTTGATGCCTAAAATTCTAATTCCTATCATAAAACAGACAGGAAGTATTGGGGAGTAGGGTCAACATTTTTTCAATTAAGTGTAAAATAATTTTTCTGGCTGATACAAATGATACTACATATATTTGTATATTCTTGCCTTTTAATAGTTGAATTTTTTTTTTCTTCACTTCAGGTTATTGTTTATTTCTTCCTCAAATGGACTTCACTTTCCCATAGTTTTATTCATTAAAATGCATAAGCAACCATTTTCTGAAGAATGATGCTTAGACTGTAAGCTATAACAGAGACCATCAATTTCCCTGGCAATATGCAATAGCTACCACGGGCAGTTTAAAACCTCCAAAATAATTTACAGTTACTTTTGTACATAATTATCTCACCAGCATGTCATTGTGCGACAAAGTCGTGAAACGTTTTGAATGGCACTCTAATCGATGAATTTTACACTAAACCATGCTAAATTCTTGGATTAGCTTTATTTACCCGCCGTTTCATCTAAAAACCGGAAGTGCGACGTAAATTTGAAATCTATCAAATTTGACATCCAAAGAAAAAAATTGTTTTATTTTTTTCTAAAATATTTGTAAAACTGAAAATAAAATAAATCCTGGCCTTATATGTAATTAGATCATTAGCATATATATTAATATACATTTCACTATATAATAAATCATTCTGGGGCCATAAAATTCACAATTTTGGTAGAGGCACTCTTGCTTATCATGTGATTGTTTTTATTTAATACCATTTTCAGAATTAATGTATTTTCACTATATAATCAATAGAGGTAACACCAGAACCCCTGACCCTGGGGCCATAAAATTCACAATTTTGGATCTTACTCATCATAACTATGTACTTAGTTGGTTTATTTAATACCCAGGAGCAGAGAAGAAGATTTTCAAAGAAATAATGCATTTTCACTACCCCCCCGCCCTAGCAGATTTGAATGGGAACAATCAGCAAACAGTTTGACTGCTTGATGTCCAGGAGTAAAGAAGAAGATTTTTAAAGATTGCACTAATTTTAGTGGTTTTGGCCCCACCCCTCACATCGGGATCATGAAATTCACAATTTTTGTTCCCCTTCACGCATAGATGCTTTGTACCAAATTTGGTTGAAATTGGTTCAGTGGTTGCAGAGAAGAAGCTGAAAATGTTCAAATGTTAACGCACGACAAACGACGAACGACGACGGACGAAAACAGATAGCAATAGGTCACCTGAGTTTACTCAGGTGACCTAAATATGCCACCAAATTTTCATTAATTCCCAATTATCTCCCCTTGAATGAGAGCGTAGCCCTTCATTTGAACAAATTTGAATCCCCTTCATACAAGGATACTTTGTGGCAAGTTTGGTTGAAATTGGCCCAGCGGTTCTTGATCAGACAACACAGCTGGACGCCGGACAAAATGTGATCTACTTGAGCTTTCAGCTCAGGTGAGCTAAAAAATGAAAATTAACAAAAACTTTACAGTGATCTTTTCAAATGTTTAACATTGCTCTTGCTTGAAAATTCAAACGAAATACACCGACTACTTTGCAAAATATACAACAGGTCTGTAATTCACCAGTTAGTACCACTTTAATATGCAAATGAACATTTTTCTAACAAATAACTCCAGCGTCCAGATAAAACCGCTCCTTTATGGGCATCTACACTTTTCTCAACTCGTCCTGATTTGCTTATCAAATGGAACTTTCCTTCAAAAATTACATGTTAATTCTACTATTGCCATCAATTTCTGTATGAAACATCCATTTATCCATTTACATGTCTACATGTATTAATTTGACTGAATCTGTTGAATTAAATTCATCAGTAAAAAGACTGATCTATAATGCCCAAAAAAGACTATAAAATATTTGAGATTTTGACAACATATATATTAATATACACTGGTAAATCATTCTTATCAATGCCGTAATGTGATTGTTTAAAAAACCCCTTTTAGCAGATTTCGGGAACCAGTGCATGTCTGTGGGGATATATATATATTCCTTGGTGTCGTCCATCCAACACAGCTTACAAGTTCTGAATGTGTTCTGTGTTAAGGAATGATATACAAGCATGTTGGCACAATAACAAATAACTGGTACACTGTATTATCACAAATACAGTAATGAGTGACAACAATCTACTGTTAAACTGGAGTATGTCAGAAAAAAGAATGTATTTTCATACAAATGACTGTTATACTAATTAAAACTGATCACTGACTCACGAATAAAAAGATTTGTACAACTGATAAACTAACTGTCCTTTGCTGAAAAAAGAGAAAATTTTGCAAATTCTCTCTTTTACCTGCAGAACAAAATTAGACTTTGCCTTCAAAATTTAACAAATCAAGTGTAAAGTTTCTATTGGATATGATGAATCACTTGTATAACAAAGGATATGTTTAGGTTCCTTCTGTAACGAAGTTTTTAATCTCATGTCTTCAACAGCATGAAACACACACTATATGAAAACATTCGCCGTCTGGAATTCCGCATCTGGGCATGCGCACGAAGTAAGAATGTTGCATTGTGGGATGAGTTTCTACGGAAGCTATCTCCAAATGTTTGTGATAGAGACGTAAAACTTTTACGTTTTTTATGCGATAGATTTATTATTTAATAAGTATCTACATGGACATTTATTGAAAATGAAGTAATAGAAGTCAGCTGTATTTGATTTTAATCGAAAATCTAAAGAGTTGCTGAATCTGTGGCAAGTACACATACCGAATTTCCTCAGTATAGTAATCTTTTGTGTAGAACAGATAAAAGTTTATTTTAAAATTATAATTTCACATTTTTACAACTCACAGGTATTAAGTCAGCTTGTGAATGGCCTTGATTCTTAAATTACTTCTTTTTATTTCATATGTGATGCTGGTAGAAACAATTAAGCTATTCTAAATTTCTGTATACATATACTAGATCTGTGATTATACTTTAATTTTTTTTTTTAATATCCAGAGGGTTATAGGAATATTCTAATATAGTAAAGATGTCAGAATCTGGAAGTGAAACAAAAAGTCCAGACGCCAAAAGTGTTGGAAGTAAGACATCAATAAATGTGAAGATTCCATCAGCTGCAAGTAAAAGAGGTGGCACCCCAACTAAGAGTCCTGGGCTGGATTTGCCAGATGAAATTGGAAGCAGAGCTTTAACCACCACCCCTGTTAGCTCAAAAGATTATCTTGCTCGATCAAATGTTAATCAGGGAACTAGCAAAAATCTACGCCAGCCCCAGAAATCAGAAAGAGAGTAAGATCGATTTACCATTAGCTTAGTGTATACAGTTTAATCTCCTTCTCTTGATCATTATAAAAACTTAAAGATGTCTAAAGATTTAAGATATAAAGATAAAAATACATGACTAAAAAGGAATTGGTAATCCATGGCATCCAAGATATTAATGTGTAAGATACCTATGTTCAACTATATCTGTTTCAATCCTGTTTCATTTCATAGTTTGAAAGGGTATTTCTAACAACGAAAATGTAACAAATCATAAAACTTTGATCTATTTTTATTAAAAATGATAGAAACTATATATAGTAAATACATGTAAAATAATATATGCTTGTAGATTTTCTCCTTTTATTGTTTGTGTTAAATATGTAGTTGTTTTCATAATTTTCTTCGTATTTCTCAAGATTAATCAGACAAGCTGCTGCTACCATCATTGAGAGACAGTGGATTGCATTTAGAGATAAACAGATGTTCCGATTGTTAAAGCATGCTGTATGTGCTGCTGTAAGTACAAAATTCAATATATCTCTAAATATAATGTCATGCAAATTAATGTGTTCAGAATGGATGATTGTATGCATTTCCTTCACAATGAAATCTTTACTCGATCATTTTCTTTTAATAGGAAAATTCTCTGTCAAAAGAGATATTAAGAAAAGTGTGTCCAAAAGAAGCCGAACTCCTTAATGACAAAGTCAATCAAGTCAGAGTTAGGTTTAGGTAAGTCATAAAAATCAGACTTAGTTTTAAGTAAATCAATCATTAAATCACACTAAATCAGATCACAATTAGATTCAGAAAAGTCATTAAGGATATAAATTTGTATTATATTGTTAATAATTTTTCCGACAGAATCTAGATTTATATTTCATTTTTTTTATCATATAATTTGATATGTTTATTTCATGGGCAGTATCCTCCACATGTATAAGATAAAATAATGTAATCAAGTATATATTTTAAGATCAGTTTATTTTCTCCTTCATTAGATTCGGTGGACAAGAGTTCCCTCCCATGATTTTCTTCAAGATATTTATCCACACAGAAGGCAAAGGTGTAAAGTACCTCAGTGGGAGACGAGTAATCAAACCAGCAACAGAGGTAAGTTACTTAAAGGATTGAACAATTTTTAATTAATTGTATAACCCCTAAAAAAAATTCTGCCCCTACATATAGTTTATTGTGTCCTTTTGCAAGGAGATGGAAATGTCAATATAGATGTTGTACTATTGTAGAGAGTATACTGCTTTGGTAGGAGTAACAATTTACAAAGACACAAAAATTTTACAGGCATCTGAAGATTCATTGAGAAACATGGGGAACAGGAAATTCTACGATCAGATGTTACAGGACGCCATGTATAACCAGCAGTACAAAATCACAGATGAAATAGACGTCACAACACTAAAGGATTACATGCAGGTATATCCAAAATCACCGACGAAATAGACTTCACTACACTAATGGATTACATGCAGGTATATACAAAATCACCGACGAAATAGACGTCACTACACTGAAGGATTACATGCAGGTATATACAAAATCACGGACGAAATAGACATCACAGCACTAAAGGATTACATGCAGGTATATACAAAATCACAGACGAAATAGACGTCACAACACTAAAGGATTACATGCAGGTATATACAAAATCACAGACGAAATAGACGTCACAACACTAAAGGATTACATACAGGTATATACAAAATCACGGACGAAATAGATGTCACTACAGTAAAGGATTACATGCAGGTATATACAAAATTACAGGTTACAACTTAACCACTTTCCTCAGCTAACTTTTACATATATAAATTTTGTAAATATCTTTCTACATGTAAATAAAATTTAAAGTGGATGGCACAGCTATTAATTAGCACTGTATTGTAGATATTCTTGCCATGCATTGATTTAATTTATTCACAATTTAATAAATTATTCTTAAATTACTTAAGTAGTGCAACATACGTTGTCTGCTTGAAAGGTGCTAAAATTATAAGCACCGTAAGATATCAACAATTAAATTATATGATCTGCACAAGATGAATCATAATTTTTTGTATGTACAGTAAAACTCGTTTAGTACGAACACGGATATAGCGAATTCACAGATATAGTGAAGTTTTTCTGGGTCCCCGGCAAAATTCTTAACAAATCTTTGTAAAATTTTACGGTTATAACAAACTCTGATATAAACAAATTTACGGATACAGTGAACTGATTTTGAGTCCCGTAGAGGTTAAATATAATAAAATTTACATCTTGTATAACGAACTTTCATAGATTATTAAAAAACTTGATAAAATTATCTGACTTTATTTCCTTTAAGTATTTGTATATAAATTCAATTCATAATAAAACCTTAGTTATCGAAGATATGTTTTGTAATCTTTGCTTCCCTAACATATTTGGTAGTAATTCTTGAAGGAAAACATCCATATTGCGAATTTGTTATACGGATATAATGAATTACGGATATAGTGAATTAAATTCACAGGTCCCCAGGACTTCACTATAACTGAGTTTTACTATACAGTGTGCTTTAACTTTTCCTTAGTTCAGTCAAAGAGACTAATTACTTTAATGATGAATATAATACATGATATTCTTTCTCCATTTTCAGTACCTGGCCAATATAGATGAGGCCCCTGCTACTTTGGGAGGGAAAGAAAATTACTGGAGAAAACTCACATTAGATGGTAAACAAACTCTCTAAAACTCTTGCTTCAATTGAAAATAAGAAACTGCAATATATTTGACAGCATATATTTTCCTCTTTAAGTCTTGTCTAGGATATTTTATGGTATATTTTCCTCTTTTTAGTATTGTCTAGGAGCACTGTCTTTTATGGTATATTTTCCTATTTTAAGTACAGTCAATTCTCGAATTATCGCCATCCGATTCATCGCCATTTTCGCAATACCGCCATGATTTCCCAAGAACGTTTTTCCTGCTATATAAAATTCTCTTTATAACGCCAAATTCGCATACCGCCATCCGCCACCCTGTTTTCACAACAAGCATCCATTTTAAGTGTCAATTATCTCGATATATGCATGTGGTCAGTGAAGCACGGCTAATTGGTTGACGCTATCCCTGTTGTAAAGCAGTAAACCAGTGCAACCATGCAATTAAGTAAACAATAATTTTAACATTGAACTGTTAGAATAATTTTATTTTCTGTTTAATAAAATCATTTAGTCATGGCTTCGCCACGAAAGCGGTCGTTGTGAAATAAGCCGATAACAATATTATTTTGATGATCTCTGCTTTTAAAAACAATGCAAAGTTTGCTTAAAAAATAATTATAAGTCAGAAATTGTGAACGTTTCATTAAAAATGATTTCATAAACAAATGAATTTATTCAAGAACTTATTTTACGTACTATAGGCAATATATCACGACAATTGACCCAGCATTTTTTTTTTCCAATATCGCAGATTTACATGCATACACATGTACTTGTCTTAATTTCATAACTGAATATTTTGTTTTAGCGAAATTGAACATATAAAAATTACTTGAAGTATTCTTAAATTTAGAAATATGTTTATATATGCATGTACATGTGAAAATAAGAATAGAAACTCTAAATGTTATTTCTAAGAACGATAATTCTACGTCTTATTTCTTAAAAGATGGAAAATTCAGTTCATCACCAAATTTGTTATACCGCCATGATTTCTAAATTACAAAAGGTGGCGGTTTATCGAGAATCAACTGTATTGCCTAGGAGCATTGTCTTTTATGGTATATTTTCCTCTTTAGGTATTATTTAGGAGGACCATCTTTTATGGTATATTTTCCTCTTTAAGTATTATTTAGGAGGACCATCTTTTATGGTATATTTTCCTCTTTAGGTATTATTCAGGAGGACCATCTTTTATGGTATATTTTCCTCTTTTAAGTATTGCCTAGGGGGACTGTCTTTTATGGTATATTTTCCTCTTTTAAGTATTGCCTAGGAGCACTGTCTTTTATGGTATATTTTCCTCTTTTAAGTATTGCCTAGGAGCACTGTCTTTTATGGTATATTTTCCTCTTTTAAGTATTATTTAGGAGGCCCATCTTTTATGGTATATTTTCCTCTTTTTAGTATTGTCTAGGAGGACTGTCTTTTATAGTATATTTTCCTCTTGAAGTATTATTTAGGAGGCCCATCTTTTATGGTATATTTTCCTCTTTAAGTATTATTTAAGAGGACTGTCTTTTATGGTATATTTTCCTCTTTTTAGTATTGTCTAGGAGGACTGTCTTTTATGGTATATTTTCCTCTTTTTAGTATTGTCTAGGAGGACTGTCTTTTATGGTATATTTTCCTCTTTTTAGTATTGTCTAGGAGGACTGTCTTTTATAGTATATTTTCCTCTTTTTAGTATTGTCTAGGAGGACTGTCTTTTATGGTATATTTTCCTCTTTTTAGTATTGTCTAGGAGGACTGTCTTTTATGGTATATTTTCCTCTTTTTAGTATTGTCTAGGAGGACTGTCTTTTATGGTATATTTTCCTCTTGAAGTATTATTTAGGAGGACTGTCTTTTATAGTATATTTTCCTCTTTTTAGTATTATCTAGGAGGACTGTCTTTTATATATTTTCCTCTTTTTAGTATTGTCTAGGAGGACTGTCTTTTATGGTATATTTTCCTCTTGAAGTATTATTTAGGTATATTTTTCCTCTTTTTAATATTGTCTAGGAGGACTGTCTTTTATAGTATATTTTCCTCTTTTTAGTATTTTTTAGGAGGACTGTCTTTTATGGTATATTTTCCTCTTTTTAGTATTTTCTAGGAGGACTGTCTTTTATGGTATATTTTCCTCTTGAAGTATTATTTAGGAGGACTGTCTTTTATAGTATATTTTCCTCTTTTTAGTATTGTCTAGGAGGACTGTCTTTTATGGTATATTTTCCTCTTGAAGTATTATTTAGGAGGACTGTCTTTTATGGTATATTTTCCTCTTTTTAATATTGTCTAGGAGGACTGTCTTTTATAGTATATTTTCCTCTTTTTAGTATTATTTAGGAGGACTGTCTTTTATGGTATATTTTCCTCTTTTTAGTATTATCTAGGAGGACTGTCTTTTATAGTATATTTTCCTCTTGAAGTATTATTTAGGAGGACTGTCTTTTATGGTATATTTTCCTCTTTTTAGTATTGTCTAGGAGGACTGTCTTTTATAGTATATTTTCCTCTTGAAGTATTATTTAGGAGGACTGTCTTTTATAGTATATTTTCCTCTTTTTAGTATTATCTAGGAGGACTGTCTTTTATGGTATATTTTCCTCTTTTTAGTATTGTCTAGGATGACTGTCTTTTATAGTATATTTTCCTCTTGAAGTATTATTTAGGAGGACTGTCTTTTATAGTATATTTTCCTCTTTTTAGTATTATCTAGGAGGACTGTCTTTTATAGTATATTTTCCTCTTTTTAGTATTATCTAGGAGGACTGTCTTTTATGGTATATTTTCCTCTTTTTAGTATTGTCTAGGAGGACTGTCTTTTATGGTATATTTTCCTCTTGAAGTATTATTTAGGAGGACTGTCTTTTATAGTATATTTTCCTCTTTTTAGTATTATCTAGGAGGACTGTCTTTTATGGTATATTTTCCTCTTTTTAGTTTTGTCTAGGAGGACTGTCTTTTATGGTATATTTTCCTCTTTAAGTATTATTTAGGAGGACTGTCTTTTGTGGTATATTTTCCTCTTTTTAGTATTGTCTAGGAGGACTGTCTTTTATGGTATATTTTCCTCTTGAAGTATTATTTAGGAGGACTGTCTTTTATGGTATATTTTCCTCTTTAAGTATTATTTAGGAGGACCATCTTTTATGGTATATTTTCCTCTTTAAGCTTTTAGGAGGACCATCTTTTATGGTATATTTTCCTCTTTTAAGTATTGTCTAGGAGAACCATCTTTTATGGTATATTTTCCTCTTTTTAGTATTGTCTAGGAGAACCATCTTTTATGGTATATTTTCCTCTTTTTAGTTTTGTCTAGGAGAACCATCTTTTATGGTATATTTTCCTCTTTTTAGTATTGTCTAGGAGGATCATCTTTTATGGTATATTTTCCTCTTTAAGTATTATTTAGGAGGACTGTCTTTTATGGTATATTTTCCTCTTTAAGTATTATTTAGGAGGACCATGTTTTATGGTATATTTTCCTCTTTAAGTATTATTTAGGAGGACCATCTTTTATGGTATATTTTCCTCTTTAAGTATTGTGTAGGAGGACTGTCTTTTATGATGTGATTGACTATTACAGTGTATATTTTATACAGTATTGTCAAGGAGGACCGTCTTTTATGATGTGATAGACTACCTGTACAATCAGAGAGTGACGCCCAGGTTAAGACAGGAAATCCCGCTGCTGGTACAGAGACCCGTGTCACAGGAGATCAAAGTCCAACATATCAGAGCCATATCCACGCTCAGGTGGGTAACGTCTTGTATTAATAAATCAGGGCCATATCCACGCTCAGGTGGGTAACGTCTTGTATTAATAAATCAGGGCCATATCCACGCTCAGGTGGGTAACGTCTTGTATCAATAAATCAGGGCCATATCCACGCTCAGGTGGGTAATGTCTTGTATAATTATAGATAATAAAATGCCTTCTATGTTTGTTTAATAATATATATAGGGATTGATATTGCAGAAATTGTACATATCTATACAGATGGTTTAAAATTAAAATGGATCTACTTAGTTTACTGTTATACTCGAACCCCATTATCTCAGACTCAACGGGAATGAGAAAAAAATAGAGATATCACAAAGGATTCTAGATATCAAGGGTAAAATACTCAAAGAAAAAGTGGATGGGACTTTCAAATAGCCCTGACATTTCCACGGTATTAGAGATCAGGTGGATATAAATATACTTTTCTGCGTATAATTTCCATTGATCTGTTAGGACCATATACGTAGTGATACATACTACCTTGATATGAAGTCAGTAAATATTTATCCATTGGTGACTGGTAGAAATTAACACACTTCTGAATAAAAAAAAAATTAATGTACTATAATACACTGTATATAAATTTATGGCCTTTAAACATTGTGAAATCATTGAAGTTGTTTAATTTAATTTTATACAGGTCAGAATCTATTCCTGTGGGAGCCCCTTTAACCACCCCCAAATCCAAAATGTCTGGGTACGTCAGTCACCCGGTCTCCAGTCGCCGCTCTAGGCAGGCCAAGGCACGCGCCTCTAAGCTGAGGAAGATGTATGGTCTCGATAGAGTAAGTATAAACTCTTCATTTCATTCTTAATTGAGCCAGCTGTTATTTTTATAACAAGACCTTTTAAGATTTGCAGTTAACTTACCATACATAATGATTGAGTGATTTGTTTCACCATTTTTAAAGGTTTTCAATAAAGTAATGCTTAAAAATAAAATGTCTAAAACACTTTCTTATAGAGCACATATGATTCTAGCTCGGTAAGACTTTGTCATTAGAATTATCAATTATGCTTAGATGTTATGTATCTTGTAGATATATATTTCATTATTACATATTTTGTCTGCATTATGCTTTTTATTTTAGACCCTTTTATATGTGATCATTTATTAGCTGTTAAAAGCCTCATTTCATTTTACAGCATGTATTTTAATTTTTCAGTATTTACTATTAAAAGTAGGATTTTTTGTATACTCAAAAAATTTGGATAATGAATTTATTTTGCATCTAGTTTGTTTTCTGTAGAGGAATGCACAAGTATTTCAAAAAAAGAAACAACTTATTTTTGTCATCCTGCTCTAGGCTTATATCATTTTTTTCCCCAAAATGTAAAAAAAAAAAAATTACAAATAAGATGTACATATTTAGGCAGAAAGTGCTGATTCATTGTCTTTTTAATGGTAGTAACACCCTTTTTTGAACTTAGAAGTTTGATTAAAATTGATACACATGTACTATACATATGTGTAAAGAAAAAATTTATTAGTGAAACTCTGCTAAAACAAGAGAAAAGAATTTCATAAAACTTTGTAAGGATAATTAATACTCTGTGAGTGCACATGCATGATCTTTAATACAGGAATATTCTGATTAATTAATCATTCGTTTATAAATAAAATCTAATGTTTAACATTGTTGCATTTAAATAGACTGGAATATTGTCAGGCCAGGTGCAAGTCAGGGGTATATGAGCTGAGCCTACTCCCTATCTTTTTCAGAATTAACCAAAAGATACAAAGATGGAATTCTTCTCAAAGGAATCTCATAGTCTTTATTTGTCAGTGTGTCTGTATACTCTTTTTTGAATCATCTTCATATAAAGTCACTTTATTTCATTAATTAATACATGTACCGTTTGTGTTCCATTAGGAAGGGAGCAAACTCCTGGATTCCAGAGAGCCCACGGCCGTGTCCGAGGAACCTGACGATTACTTTGATAAATACGGCATCACGGGAGAGGAGGGAGAGGATCCAGAGGAGTGGGAGAGAGAAGCTAGCAAGCTGTACGAGTGGACACAGGAACTGTCATTCAATGATGACCTCATAGCCACGCCCCGACTCCCCATACAAACGTGATTCATTCATTTCATTGGACAGGTCAAAGGGCAAAGGTTACACAGAAGTTATTGTAAGCCATGAAGCACTGTCAGAGCACTGAGGACTTTATGTAAACACTAATCGGTGATACACTCATGCTTTCAGTGATTGTGCATTTATTTGTTATTTGTTATCGGAAATCCTTATTGAAGTTTTGTATACACTAAGTTGTTTTTATATGTACATGTATTTATGAAAAGAATTTTCAGTAATGAACTTTTATTATAAAACTTGTTTTATACATATTAAAAACTTTCAAAAAGAATTATTGTATGTAGTAAGATTTCTTTACTAATTTACAAAAAGAAAGTTCACATCTACTCTCAGTACTCTGAATTTGACCTCCAGAGGAATGATAAACACAAAACCTTGACATTGTGAAGGTAGTGTCTGGCTTGATTCTGGTTGGATGCCCCAATTGCTATTTGTAATCCAAAGCAACGCTCAGAATTCACAGTCTTTAAAATTGCCTTTGACTGAAGGAGATTTGTAACTCTGGTTCGTTGACTGTCATTGTAACAAAACATGGTAATTAGTTTCTTAAAAGTTAATTTAAAAGGGTTGAATTAAAAAAAAAATCAAATTACCATTCCAAGACTGTAAGTATGCCTTAAATTGTTGGAAAATAAATAAAGATTTATTAGGACCGTCCGCGTAAAAATGTATCAAACGTTTTTATTGTAGAATCATACACCATTTTCAAATAGTATTCAGTTTTCATCGCTAAAATTAAAAGATAAAGGTTTATTGCTATATGCAAAAGTTTGCTTAAAAAGTAACGAAAGGATGGAGGAAAAATATAGATGCCTAAGTAAAGGTTTTAGGTTTTTGGCGCCAGAATGACGTGAATGGATGCAGCAATCTTGACAGAAGATTAAATAATGAAAACTTTCTCCAGCACGTTGACAAAATGATATAATTATGATACACCTCTAAAAGCCAGTCAAAGTTGAGTCCTGTCAGAGTTTTTTGACTAGATGAAGCCAGCGCTTCACTCTCTAGAGAATTAATAATAGTAATTATCCATAAATTTCTTACAAGATATTAAATTGTTTTTGGGCAAAATGAAAAAAATGCTAGAAATATAATGGCAGATCGATTAGGGTATATTCGGTGGACACCTCGGTACTGATCCGTTAAGGCTGTTGTAAGTCAGAGAATCGTAATTATATTAAGAGCAGCCCTCGACTCTTTCCTTCTTCAAGTTAATCAACGCTTTCGATGAAACATTGATATCTAAAGTCAGACAAATGGTCCTGCGTTTGTCACAGGGGGAAACTCAGATATTTGATTTCATTTGGAAACCTCGATAGTGCTGCAGTTTATCTGTGTATCCGTATATGATGAAGCCTATTTGTTAAATATCATATGTTTGGAAACTTATCTGTGGTAATTTTACTTGTATACCGAGCACTGTAACTTTCTATTAATGATAATTACAATTCTATACGGAATTGGATTTACGATTGAAAGAATATTTATAAGAATACCATTTATCAATGCAAATGGTTTTTCGAAGTAAATAGAAAACAGAAGTCATTAAAAGCCGGTTTTCCGGAGTTCCTATTTTATAATGAAGAGGAGGGAAATTCTTCGGTGTCTCATGGTTTTCCTACCTTTGTTAATCTACCTGTATTTCGCTGTCATGTTGGAGCTGATCTCCAATGTCCCAGAGCAGGGAAAGGGTGTCACTTCTCAAACAGACACGATACAGAAAACGTTTTTCGAGAAAACAAATATTTCATATTTACAACAGACTAAAGCACCTGATGCAGATTTTTACTGGAAACCTTCATTATCGGAGCGCAAAAAATATGGAAAATTTATGAGTGTATGCAAGGAATATCAGTCTAAGTGTTTGTATGAAAACATTGTATTTACCTGCGAAAATATTAAAAGTATTAAATTGCAGGAGAAGATTGGACATGGTGTAACAAAACAAGCATTTCTAGGATTATTTGAAGGAGCGGAAGTAGTGGTCAAAATGGTGACACGTCACCAAAAAGAGGCTAGGGAGTGTTTGGATGGTCTACCTAACCGGGATAGATCGGACAACTTAAAACGGTCAAAGTGTTTTGTATTTCCAACAATGAAGTTAATGAAAGAAATTCTGCTTCTTCATCAGCTTAATCACGAAGGATTTTTAAGACTTCATGGTTACTGTGTTCGCAGTGAAGAATCAGAGAGTACAGACTTGTCAGAACACGGTGTGGTGGCTGTGTTTGAGAGGGGAACCAGTTTATCAATTGAAAAATTAAAAGGTCTTTCGAAGGAGGATAAAATCCGTCAATCGATGCACCTTATTTCATTTTTTCAATATCTGGCTAATTCCCCCCTCGGATCTCTTAGAGTGAGGGACTTTAAAATGGACCACTTTCTAATGGTTAATTCCACAATTAAAATGATTGATTTAGATGATATAGATAATCTAGAGCCCTCTTGTGACGCCTACTCAATAGAAAGCAACACAAAAAGACGCTCGTGTGAGTACAATCTGACGTGTGAGATGGGGTTATGTAACGGGCATAATGCTAAACGAAACATGGAGAGGGCAAACGAATTATTCTTCAGGCATCTATTAACACCCGAGTTCTTTCCCAGAAAGTGTTTTAAAATGTTAGAAGACATCAATCAGCGTCTGAGAGAATTGTCAGTGAATTATCACGGTGTTCTGAGATCACTGAAGAAATTATTGGACTCGCTCGTTTATCTGCATTAACGCTTGTTTTCCAAAGCCGCTTTTATGGTGTAAAGTCCATTATTTATTCCATTTATTGACCCCTAGTCTTAAGTTTATCCTAATGCAAGCTTTTATAAGCTGTTACTTCTATAGTGTCTCTAAGTAAAAAAATACTCCTTTCACGATAGTGCAAAAGCAGATTCAGTTTAAGTGCGTGGTTTCCTCTTAGTTTTTTCTTGTTGTCTTGGAAACACAATTACGAGCATGGCATTATCCAAAACGTCTACATTATACGTAGAAAAAGTCAACGTTATTTATATTAAATCATTCTTGATTTTTGTTTTTTTTTAATAACGAAACTTCCTCTTGTTTATGTGATTACAGTGCTTCGAATAAACAATAATTTATATAATTCATTGAAAATATTTAGAAGCAAAGCAGGCTGCTATACAGTGTAATTATTTTTCAATACGATTATCTTGATATGCTGTTAAAATACATGTACACTCTATATGAATTAAATAATACACCAATCATATTACATGCATTGTGTATATGTACATCTTGTAGTTTTACTACATGTAATACATTGTTTGATAATTTGTTTAATGTTTATATATGATAACGACAATGCATCATTAATGAAATTAAATTTTTCTCGATGTTTTTTTTTTCCTATTTTATACCTTGCTCAAAATAGATGAAATGTTCTAAAGACAGATGATGCAAACAAAAAATAGATGTCTGGGTCACAGGGTCTCGTCACGACTTATTTGTCTTGATAAAAATTGACTACCCCCAATAAAAATATAAGGATGGTCAAACCTAATCAAAACAAATAAGTCGTTACGAGCTCCTATGAGCTATTTTGGTAATAAAAAGATCAAGAAATTAATATCAAGGTGTTGAAAACTCTCCACGATGTTAAAAATCCAAACATTTTGCAATATTTTTTTTATAAGTCGACACAACTTTATATTACTTTAATGAACATTATTCATGTTCTTATGAGACTTGAAGAAATAAAAATGTAAATCTGCTTTATTACTTTTTCTTATTTAAACAAAACTTAATTATATGTTACTTTTCATAATTGTTGTCTCCTTGCACTTTGTGTCTCAAATCATTTTGTGTCTGGGTTTTGTCGAGTTCCAAGGTACCTCGTGTAAGTGATGCAATCTTTTTCTTACAATGTCGTCATTTGGCGCCGATTTCAGAAGTTGTCCCGCCTCGTGGTGTATGGACTGCAGTCGTCTGCTTATATCGTGAATAGCCATTTGGTTCTTGTTTAGATGTCGTTGCTCTGAGACATTTTTCTCCAGTATATCTTTTATCGCTTGTTCCTCTTGTTTTAATACAGACAAGGTGTTACTGATCTGATGGTTTCTTTCTTCAAAAACGTGATGCAGATGTTGAACTTGTCCTGGTACTTCTGCAATTTGTGTAGGGGGAGTAGGAAAGAAATATATCATTCCTCCTTCATGTTCATTTCTGGGTTGCTTTGGTGGTCTTTGGATTTGATTGTTTATTGTGAAACGACCTGCTGCTGGTTCTGTCGTCTGTTTAATGGGCGGTTCCGGCTTGGTTTCCGGGGTAGGTGGTCCACAGACCCGAATGATAAAATCAGTCAGCGTTCTGTCGTCTGTTAGAGTGTATTTGTTGAGTACTCGCAGGTCTGTGCTCAGTATTTTGTCCGCTATCCATCCATCTAAGGACTCTTTTAGGATACGCAGAAACTTGGCCAGAGTTCGGATTCCACGGCGACGTAGGATGTCAATCAAAAGCGTGATTTGAGCGTCGGGGGAAACCTGAAAAATCGTTCAAAATAATTGGTCATCTCAAGATACTTATGCTAAATCTTGTTGCGTGCCGCTGAGCAGTTATTTATGAAATGACAAGATAAACCAAAATCACAGCACTTGTCCATTTCTATAGATTTATAAACAATGAATTTTTTTTTCAAACAGCACGCAATGCGACCAAAGCGACCATGCAAAAAAGAGTTAAAAAGCTTCAAATATAATTGAAATTAGTGAATTGAAACATAATTATAACATTTTCATACAACAGTCATGTTTTGTCAATTTTCTCTAAATCTCTGCCTTGACTGGTACCTTGGCCATTCTGTCCTTGGTACTGCTTGTTATAATGACCCTTCGTCTGAGTTCTTCAATGACGGTTGGCGTGAGAACGAGATGGCGACGCAGAAATCCCTCATGATTGTCCAGCACACCATGGATAATGCGGTTCTCCAGCGACATAACTCACACGCTGCAAAAAGCACTGTCACTTCCAACGGAATTTCTCGCTCCAGGTGAAAAAATATTGCATTCTCCTTTTTAGATTAATGATCAGAATTCCATAAACGAACAGTTCAAGCCAAAATCATCTGTTTTTCAAAATTATACAGCAAAATATGTGTTTACGTGAATGTAATGACTAGATTTTCTTTGGAAGGTAAATAGTGAAATTTGTAGTTGTAGAAACTTGAAAAGCCAGTAATGCATGGACATTCTTGTAACAAGTAAATACGTACTTCCGTTTTTATTGAAATATGGCAACAATCACTGAAAAGCGACTTCTTTTGAAGATGTGGACGAAATAGAGCGGAATATACACACATTTTCTGTATCGAGAACCAACGAGGTTATTTAAAATTATTGAAAATGGTAAACATGGTAAATGAATAGATATTAAATACTAGATCACATTTCAAGTAGTGTTGAGAGGTTAGGCTTATATTGGTGTTTTGTTACATCTCTCCTTTTCCCTTCCAGTTACTTTTTCCTATCCTTCTTCTCTACTCTTCTTACAGTTTTCATCCTCCTCTATCCCCTTCCCCATTTTTCTCTCATCCCCTGGCCCAGGTATTTAATTATTATACCTTTGATCAAAACGATCTACCTTGTAAGTGGAAATTTTAAAGAGACGACAATTTAGCGATATGTCCTTAAAAAATTATATTTTATTTTTAGCGAGATGTAATTATAGCAATTTATAATACTCACTTAAGAAGCTATAACAAATGAATGCAATTAATTTTTCGCGATATTAAATTCTAGCCCCAGACACTTGTTACTGAAATAAAATTTTAACCCATGGTAATAACATTGTTATTATTTTACCATGGGTTGAAAATTTATTACCGAAACAAGTGCCCACAAGTACTTCACAGCACCCTCGCTTATTAGGCAAAAATTAAATCCTCGGTAAAAATTCTGCTTATACGGAATCATATAGTCCATGCAAACACAATAAAAAAAAACGTCATCTATGGCTCGAGACGATGAATAAAAAATGACAAGGGTTAAAAGACGTTAATTGCAAACTGATAATTAAAATTTTGCAAAAGATTCAGATGATAAACAATCGATCGCCTTACTGATTTTACGCTATGTACATCTAAATGACGTTTATAAATATAAATATAATATATAGCTTTTTTTAGTTCCTTTCTTAAGTCATACTGAAAATCAACGGAAACTTGTCTAGAAAATAAATGCAGCATAGGGAAAACGATATATTTTGTTCATGCACAAATAAAAAAAAAATGCATTTACATCATGCAGAATATTTATCCCATTGCTTGAAAGTGGGAGGGTCTTTCCGTCCGTCTGGCTGTGCATGTGTTCGTCCGACTTATACTTTTTGATCTGACACATAATTTAGGTTTCCCATAGCAAAACATGGACACTGCAATTCTTTTTACATGTATAATATTAAAGAGTATCCATCTTTTATCTGCAACTCCTCCTATACCACTGAATAAAATGAAATGATACTTTCACAGATTCTTTATATCAGATAATGCCATTGTGCACCTATTTCGGATCTCCCAGAGCAAAACAAGGATTTAAGAATAGTAAAAATTTTGTTGTTTTTTTACTGAAAAATGTTAAAATTTAATCCAGAAAATTCAGAGTAGAAATGTAAGAAATCAAAACCAACTCGATCATCAGTGTTGTCAGTCCGTGCTCAAGTTTGTGATATATATCTTATACATGTACTGCATAAAGGGAGGTAACTCTTACATTCATTCACCATAATTCAATGCTCCCCCTGACTTTGTGCATACAATTAAAATGTTTTGCGACAAAATAAAATATAATCATCATTAAAGAAAGCTTATGATATATACACATTATGTACTTCCTATAAAAAAGATCATGAAACAATGACATACCATTCTGATGGAATAGCTATAGGCCAAATGCACCTGACGAATTGATGGTGTGCCCCCCCCCCCCCCCAGCTTCTGAGAATTTTTATTAGACACAAAAACTTATCAAGAATACATGATTTCCCAGTCCATCATTCTTATATTTCGATATCTGATATCATTGTTCACTTTTGTTGAGATTTAGAAATTGGCCCAGTACGACTATATATCAAACTACATATATAAGAATGATAGGCTAGGAAATCGTGTATTTTTTGATAAGTTTGTGTGTCTAATAAAAAATTCCAGAAGGGGGTGGTGGTGGTTGGGTGTTACACCATCTATTCGTCAGGTGCCTGTGGAAGAGGCAAGCCCCTACATAACATTATATACATGTTTAAAATTGCGGGGGCTCAACTTCATAAAAACTGAGATTCCAGATGATAATTTTAAATTATCATAGACGAATTTTTTAATATAATTTTTAGTCATAAAATTGTTCATATTTTCGGGTCAAGTACAAAATAAGACGAAAATAGTCCCATCCACATACTCTGCAGTAAATCGGTTTTGTTATTATAATATTTTTGTAAGATCATAAATATTCATGTATAATTATATCAATTATATTCTAATATAAATATATGAACAAAACATTTAATGCTAATTACTTTTTAATGAATATTAAACAAATGAAATTGTTTTCAGAACAATAATTTGAAAGGTCGACAGGTTGACAGGTCGACAGGCTTACAAGTCGACAGGTTGACAGGTAGACAGGTCAACAGTTTAAATTAAGAACAACAATTTGACAGGTCGACAGGTCGACAGGTCAACAGTTTAAATGAAGAACAACAATTTGACAGCAGGTTTGACAGGTCGACAAGTCGACAGGTTGACAGGTAGACAGGTTATATCATAAGATACATGTTTATTGAATGCCTGAAAGTCTAAATTTTATTCTCATTATATATGCGCAATGTCTGATAACAGTTAGATATATATACATCTCCATTTGACACAGAAACCAAATTACCTTAACAATGTGTATTATGCTGACTCATTTTACTATAAATAAGCTGAATATATAAATTGTCAGCATATGGAATGCCATATACGACAGCCAACTGCTTACTGCCAACTGCTGACTGCCAACTGCCACACATATTTGAATAAATTTTATTGTTATATTGATATTTATGTAAATTTAAAAAAAAAGCGCGGATCTATAGGACATTTTTTCCAAGAGGGTCACTCTGGTAAAAAAAAAATCCAACCCAGAAATTTCTTGACAAGAAAAAAATACATAAAGTCCTTTCCTAAATGTGAAAATTTATTTCGGCCGGGGAGAGGGGGTTCTTATGCGCCATACTGTGGTGCTTTGGCAATGGTGTGGGTCCTAGTTTGGCACCACGTGGCTCCAAAAACCCGGGAGAAGACAAGAACACGTTCGTCAGCTTCAGAGTTTAATTTTAGAACAACATAATGTAATTATTGAGACGCCGAACCCGACGGCAAATACACAACACGCAAGTTTCGAGATTATCTCCCTTGGTGCGCTCTTTCGTTGAGGAGGGGGGTTTCGTTGCCGCGTAAACAAACAGGTGGGACAGATATTTGATATTGTGTATGTTGGATACATTGCATCATCGATATACCGGTTTATCATAACTACACGATTGTCAGGATGCACTCTGCAGCTTGAGAATAACCGAATTAAAGTAAAGGCATCATTTTTAAATCAAAAATAGCGAAAAAAAAAAAGAAAATATCAGTGGATATGAGACTTTTCTGACGAAGGAAGAGATATGGACCTCTTATAAATACGATACACATGCATCTGGTCATTGCACGTCGGGAATCTAAATTACATATTGATTCTTTTCCTTATTTTAACTTAAAAACACTAACTTTTTAGAAAATGTTCGAACAATGAAAAAAATCTGTTACTTTGTATAAAGACTATGACGTTTTTTCGTTTTCAAGTACCCGAAAATTTATAGTAGAATTGTAAATATGCATAGTTGAGCTTGATAAAATCATCAAATGCATCACTGCATAACTTTATTATCTTTCTATGACATTTAATTAATTTTAAAAGCCATAAATATCGTTCTTTTATTTATGCACTTTTGTATACAGAGAAAACCTGTCCCACCTCCATGCTGAAATGGGTACTTTTTGCGCCTCTATCGTAGGAGAGTTACAATCTCGAAACTGGCGTCATATGATAAAACATATTGGTCATTTTATTCAATTCAAATTTACCAGGGTGACCCCCTTGGAAAAAATGTCCTGGATCCGTGCCTTTTTTTCCCCCTTTTTTGTAAAAATTCATATAAATATCAATACAAAAATAAAATTTATTCAAATATGTGTGGCAGTTGGCAGTAAGCAGCTGACAGTTGGCAGTAAGCAGTCAGCAGTTGACAGTAAGCAGTTGGCTGTCGTATATGGCATTCCATATCAGCACGTCTTATTGTCAATTAAAAATACATTTGAATAATGTTGTCAACCTGTCAACCAGATATAAAAGCACATTTATTAACAAATTTACTTTCAAACTTCACAGTATTATTGATGTCAACCTGTCGACCTGTCTACCTGTCGACCTGTCAACCTGTGGACCTGTCAACCTGTCGACCCGTCGACCTGTCAACCTGTCGACCTGTCAACCTGTTAAGCAGACATATAAGGATTTTTTTTGAACAAATGATATTTTATGACTTTGAAATATATATTTACACTAGTGTCAACCTTAGTAGCATTTATGATAATGTCAACCCGTCTGCCTGTCGACCAGATATAGTAGCATGCTTATGAACAAATGTTCATTTATGACTACTAAGCGCACATTAAAATTTATTGATACTTAAATAAAATCATATGTAAGATACATATCTTGTTTCGTACTTTATGATCCATTTTATATAATAATTGGTTGACAATATAGAATGCAATTGGTTTATATAACTAATTTACCAATAATGGCCCCAAATATTCATTAATATTCAAATTTGATTCATATGCAAAATATGGTAATTTATTTTATTTTATACATTTATGAATATTGATGAATATGCAAAAAAAAAATATTCTTACGAGAAAAAAAAATTGGAACTATTTTCGTCTTATATTGAACTTGAGCCATATTTTCTTGTATTTGGGAATTTAGTATGTTTATAAATGTAAACTTATTTTAATATTTATTGAATTATATGTCAATGTATAATTCAAATATCTCTATGTGGAGGAAATTAATCACTCTCTCACTTTCCTTTGCATTTAGCATAACCCCAATGGTTTTGGGGTTATTAGTTGAACCTTCGATCACACTTCCGGTAAAGCTAATGGCTGACGGAATGGGTCAGCTACCTATGGTTCTGGTGTTTTCGGCGCTGATTTTCCTCACATGGAGAGATTTAAGTCACAGTGAACAAGCACAAGACGTACAGAAGGACATCAAGACCCCCAAATTGTCTAAATTTGCTGGACCGACCCTTAAATTTTTGTTTTGGTAAGAATTTCTTACGAAAGATGGAACATCGGTTTTATTTACAACGCAGTCATGACTCAGTAACTTTGATTTCATCAAATTGCCTTGAACATTAAACTGAAAACGTGAAAATTATCTCATTCTGAAAATATTGATCTAATTTCATCATTCTAACTGTTATTATCACAATGGTAGATTCCCATGCATAATGCTTTCAATGTCATTCTCTTTTGTTACATGATTACATAATTATTCAATTCATGTGTACTTCAGTCTCTACTACTAATGTACTTTGCCTTTTTTTTTCTTCTGTATCTGTCTTATAAACATTAAGTTCAAAAATGCATGTACATTAATTAATTGCCATTAGGCCTAAATACTGATGCCCCATACCACAATATGATACATATGTATATATACATTGAAGAGTCATATGTCTATTTTATGTACATGTTTATATAGGTTCATGTATGTCTAAATGTTTTTTTTTTTTTTTCTTTTTCTGTCAACTATATTTTAGGCCTTTCTCTTGTAAGTTTGTACTCTTTATGCTCATTTGGGCACTGAATTAGTAATAAAACATATCTTATCTTATCTTATCTGTTACAATTTTTAACCTTGCGAAGACTTCCTTCATTAAATAAATTTTTAGCTACTTAAGAATTGACACTTTAGTTACAGACTAATGGCTTTGGTTACACAAAATTTTAGGCAACTAGGGCAAAAGCACAGTCGCACTTGTTTTTTCGTATATTGTATTTGTAACGTAGACCAAACCTGCACATGGGATGAACAGTATCAAACTAGCTTTAGATGCCGAATTTGACTTAGATTTTCTGGATGAGTGACTATTTAAAGTTTTAATGCTTAAGCTTTGGCACAAGAGGGGCAACTGTGGCAATATTATATTAAAGAGAGCAAATTGCATGTAGACTGTCAATATCTGTTCATTAGAATTGAGAGTCCTTGGTAACAACTTAGTAAAACTAAAACAATTTTCATCATTTCTCTTTTCAGTTACTCCTGAGGGTACAGGAAGGTCTTTGACCAGTATGCCCAGCTTCTTCATGAGCGATTTCCGGCACTTGACATCCAGGGTGATAACTACCCCCCACCCTCGGGTCGTGCCGCTGTCGCTCAGTTTCTAAGTATTTTCAAACTTGTTCTCATTGTTATGATTGTTAGTGGACAGAACCCATTTCCTCATCTGAATATGGAGACACCTAGTATTTTTAACTGGGCGTCAGAAAATAAGGTAAAATCTAAAATTCTTTCTACCGGTAGATATTTCCAAAACTGTCTTACTAAACATGGCAAAAGGATTAAAAAATTTAAGGGTTTCAAATATGTATATGTAAGTTGTAATGATAAGAAATTATTATTTACAGCTCTAGCTGATATTAATTTTACAACTGAAATAAATACTGATAAAAAGAAAGAGAATTCAATTTGGTTAATGGCGTGAGGAAAATACACCCAATGAATAAGAATAAAGATATATATAGAAAAAGAATTTATATTAGATTTTTACAACATTGTTGTCGTAAAACATGTAAGCTTCATTTGAAATTTACATAAAAGTAAAGAAGTTGTAAATTGAGATAGTTGAAAAGAAAAATAAGATGGAGTATTACAAAGTTGTCATTTTGCAGAATGTTGAATAATATTATGAACCCTATCCTTTTCGTTTGTTAATTGGAGATGGATCATATCCTTATCGTACATGTCAGAAATGTCTGTTCTGATTCTTTCAGATTTATGCTTGCCTTATGGTGTTTTTTATCAGCAATGCTATAGAGGGACAGATGATTTCTACTGGGGCTTTTGAAGTCATATTTAATGGTTTGTGAAGATATTTGTAATGATCAATACATAGAATTGTCATGTGATAGAAAAATGTATTTGGATTTATATTTACAGTATCAGGAATTGAAAATAAAGAACTGGAATAGAAGTGTATCATTATATTAATTAATGTAGAAACAACTAAGAACTCTCTAAATTTAAAGCTTTATTTATCAGATGAGCAGCCTAACAGATTGAAATACATGTATCTATTTTATTAAACAAATTTCGTTTTCTGCAGATGTTCCTGTGTGGTCAAAATTAGAGACAGGGAGAATTCCGCAACCTAATGAAATGTTTCAGATCATTGAAAACCACATGCGTTTATACACAAATCCAGTGCAATAAGAGAATAAGGACATGTTAGGTAGGTGTAAGGAGAGTACCTCTCCCAAAAAATAGAAAATTTTAAATACTTAAAAAATGAATCAATTAGTAACCCAAATTATACTGTATGACAGGGACAGTTTTAACTTTAAAAACTGTGAAGTGATTTGTTTAAATAAAAAACTGTTTTAAATCAGATCATACAAATAAAACTTGGGCAGCTATCAAATCCATTCTCATAATTTATGAATATTGGGTAGCTATCAAATTTATTCTCTTAATTTAATTTATGAATTGAAAGGAAATTGTCTACTCAAAAATTACTTCTATTGTTTTTAAATTATTTTCTTTTCTCTTTTTCAGTCTTCAAATAACAAAACTACTTGATTTATAACAGTAGTAGAAGAGCAGAAACTGAACCAATGAAAGCCTTCATTGCAAACAGCTTTGCTGTTAATGAAGTGTTGGATAACCAATCAGGATCTGTCTTCTGTTACTGTCAACCAATCAACAGTGATGTATTATCTGATGACTTTCATGTCTGATCTGAAATTTGACAAAATGTGATCAAGAATCTTTCATTTAAACATTTGTAATTTACAAATAATCCTTGTCCAAATTGAAGAAGTGGAGTTTTGTTCTATGAATGTGTTTGATGTAAATAGTGACATGAATTATTTCTGAGTGATGATGTGTGAATGAGGAACATAAATTATGTCATGATATATATTATTTGTGAACTTGATGTTAAGTAGAAGAATTAGATAATTATGGTATTGTGAAAGTGATTGTGGATCTTTATCAGCCCTCATTAGTTACACCTCTATCTGAAATTTTGATAATTTTAGACTAAAGGAAACTTGAATTTCATTTATTATTTGGATCCCTGTAACTAGCTAACATCAGCAATCATGATAATATCTTATAAATCAGTCAGCCCAATCCAAATATACCATAGAGGTACTAAAAAATTAAAGTATATATCCTATATGTATAAATTGATTTTGAACATTCCAGTACACTCTACACCTCTAATACACCTGAGATTTGTAGAAATTATCGTGAGTCTACAAATGTGATTTAACTTAGCTGCTCCTAGTTTTGTAATTGCAGTTTTGCAGGAGTTTGTATGTTTACAAAAAAGGTTCATTTTAATTTAATTAAATTATTAAAGTGATTTTTGAATGTAAAAAAAAATTAATTTGCACCTGAAAGTTGATGAAATTATTGAAGTAATTTTATTTCATGTGTGAATTTGATCTTTTGATCATATGTATTAAGCTTTACTATTATTTTACTTGTGTCAGTTTATTATTGTATGCAGAATTTCTTTGAGTAGAAATGCAGGCTGTGATTTGTGATGGCTTGTAAAATCTTACTTTTAAATAAACTTGTTTTTAAATACAGTGTCTAATTTAGTCATTTCAAAAAACATTCAATTTAATATATTGTATCCCTTTAGAATATGTACAGTAAAATCTTGTTATGTAGAACTCAATATGACTAAGGAGAACCTTTGGGATATCCAAGTATTCGAGATATTGAGGGTAAACTTCTTCAGGAATAAGAGGTTTGGACTTTGAAATGTGTGAGATACAGTAGTTCAACTACATATCATTAAAAGAAGAAAGTGTCCTTATAGAAAATCACTCACATAGGGGATTTTGTCATGGAATGGACAATTGGAAATTCTTCAGTATGTTAAGAGAGAACATTCTCTGACAAGAATTAGATAATAATATCAAAGTGCTAAAGTGATTTATTGAATAAATACAAAAGTCATTATTCCTTGTACCAGCAGGAAAAAATAGTTTAAGCAGATGATGATTTGATCAAAGGAAGAGGGTGGTCATCTGTTACACGACTTTGTCATCATTAGAGTAGGGAAAGGGAACATATTTGAAGAGAACTGACGTTGGTATCTCTAGTCATATAGACACATGTATAAAATATTTTATTCTCGTTCATCTCCTTCACCCTATAAGTTATTGATATTGGTACAGGTGACATAAATACAGTTAATAATAAAGACCTCAGATCTCTTATTTTGAAAGGTCCTAAATATAGGGAACCCTGATCCTTCAACTGGTGACGGAATTTCATAAATATTGATTCTGTTGAAGATTACGCCAGGTGATGGGACAGATATGAAAAAGAAGACGTTGACACTTTGTCAGAATGGAATAAATAAATGTGTCAGATCCATTTTACTATCACGTATGAAAAGATTGAGGAACAATAGATGGTTTTCCATTGAGGTGATTTAAGCAAGAGTTATTCCCCATGGCCGCCATGTTGGAGGCCCAGATCCCTTCATTATTCAACCAAGTTCAATTTGTTATACTGGTTACTGAGGTATTGACAACACTATTTTTCTTATGAATATACATTTGTTAAAGCCTCTTTAATTCATAATTTTAAGATTGTAAATATTTTCCCCCATAATTCTTGCATGCGTGTTTAAAATTGGTTGCTCAAAGAGGAGAATTCACTGCTTTGCCCTACAAGATGGCGGCTAAGGGGAATAACTCCGAGGCAAAATATGTCATAGGAAAACCATCTATAAACAGTAACTATGAAAACCATCTATCCTTCTGTGTTCAATAACCCAGAAGTGAAAAAGAATTTGATAGATGAAATGATCAGTACGTATTGGTTACTGCTGACAAAGCATGTAACAACACTGTCTTCGTTTGTAAGGCTCATTATATAAATTGTATTTTTAGAAGAACTTGGATTTACAAGTGGTATTCCAACTTACTCATAGTTCCCTTTCTAAGGAAGAAATTCTTCAGAATCATATGTCACTTTTGAATATTTTTTTAATATCTCTTAGAACCAAAATGAATTTGAACAGGATTCCGAAACTTTATAAACATCCTAACAAGATACATAGCGGGTTCCCGTAAATGTTCAAGCCTCTTTCTTTACTCTTCACTAATAAATCAAAATAAGTGAAGGAGAAACTTCAAGAGTACTGTGCATCAATATATTTAAGAAGTGTTGTAAATCACTTGTGGATACTTAAAAATTCCAAGGAACTTTTGGACAATTTGAAATTAAAAGATTTTACCAAAATCAACAGCTTAAAAACTTACGACTTTTCAACTTTAAACACAACCATCCCCGACGATAAATTTGAGTCCAGGCTTTTTTATATCATCGACAGCTGCTTTTTCAATAAAAATGGAACTCGTAAATTTACTTACCTTGTCATTGGTCATTTGCAAAATTTTGTTTAAAACATTCTGATTGTACACACAAGAACTCCGACGGAAATTGACACCAAAAAATGCTTGTGTGTCTGATTGACAATATCTATGTTGCACAGTACTCTTGAAGTTTTGCCTTCACTACTCCCATCCGAAAATGTGTAGTTGACCGTCAACTAGCCGTCAACTAGCAGTCAACTAGTCGTCAACTGATAATGCGAAAACAGTTGACCACTAGCTGTTAATATCTTAGTGAGGAGTAAAGAAAGAGGCTTGGTTAAGCTTTTACTGGAACCCGCTATGTATCTTTGTTTGTCAAGATTTTTATGATGGTAGTTCAAATTCATTTTGGTTCTTTGGGATCTTAAAAAAATATTCAAAACTGACATGATTTTGAAGAATTTCTTCTTTCGAGAGACTATGAGTGTAAGTTGTATTACCACTTGTAGAATTAAATCGAAGTTCTTCTGAAATACTGGTACAATTTACATAATGACTGAGCTCAACAGTACAATTCTGAAAAAGCTAACATAGATTTAAATAAAATGAATAAGAAAAATATGAACATACAATTGAAAAGCATAAACCAAACAATTATTTTTTTTTCGGTAATTTCTGTCATTTTCAACAGTTATGAAATATGAATATACCGAACTGAAATCAATCTAATCGATTTTTGTGTTTGACATACCAGTAATGACCAGTAATGACACCACTTTACTCATTATTACTAACATTACTTATCTATCTTTTACTTTTTGTTGATATATAGTCTGATGTTTAACCATAAAGGAAGTTATGCATTCAGTGTGCCCTCTATTTCCTTATAGGTTAGGACTTTCCCCCAGTACGTAACCATGTCAACATGACTCTACCTTTGTTTATGGAGGCAACTGACCGTATACTCGTATTGATCTATCATTTAACTTGACTGGTCACTTTAACCAAGAAAATAATTATTGTAACATTTATTTGCATTTATATACTTTTTGTTTAAAAGTTTTGTTATCTCCCTCTCCTACTTTCTCAATAAGTATGGTTTTTCCTTTCGTGTTATAAGAATGTCTTATTTTTATTGGTGTCAAATCAATATTTCGATATATAGCCAATGTTTTCAATTAACAATAGTTATTATCATATGCCAACTTGATATATCAATCACAGTAAACTCTAAATACAAGACACCACAAAATCCACCACAAACGAATCCTATGCTGATATTTTACCAATTAAGATGTTAATGACCATGCAACTGTATATGTCAATTTAACTATATAACGGAAGAAATGTCTTCAACATTTCCACCGTCAACTTTTCTTAATTATGAAGTACTTATTATCTTTTATCAAATACCTTTGGTGTTTATTACGTCTCTAAACTAGTACTCTTAGAGCATGTTGCGATTACACACAATACTCTAGAGCATGCTCATATCGTTTTTTAATACCCATTCTTATGTCGATATGATATAACCTGATGAGCTTGAGATAAAAGATACCACAGAGTCTGTCACATCTGTTTCATATTTGGACATTTTACTCGAAAAAAGGCATAAATGGTAATCTAACAACCAAGCTCTATGATAAACATGATAACTTTAACTGTTCTATCGTCAACTTCCCTTACTCATGCAGCAATATACCTTCATCCCCTGCATACGGAGTTTATATATCTCAACTGAGACAATACGCAAGATCATGATTTTCGTATGAACCATATCTTAAATGAGGTAAATTATTGACAAACAAGTTGATTGAGCAGGAATATCAGCGGTCTCGTTTGAAGTCATTATTTCGTAAGTTCTATGGTCGATACAACGACCTTGTCACCAAATACAATTTATCACTGAGTCAAATGCTGACTGACATTTTTCATACCAATTGTTAGTCCAATATTTATACTTTGAATTGATGACAGATTTTCCCGTTATTTTTCGATGAAGACAAGGAGCACTTGGCGTGTATGACCGGTTAGCAGGCGATGCTCACTCCTCCATGGCACCTGATCCCAGTCTGGTGTTTTGGAGGTCCGTATTTGCTCTGCTCCTATTTTGTATCATTTAATGGACTTTTGATCTTGAATACTGTTCGTTATCTCCATATATTTCTTTCTTTCTTTTTTTTTTGATTTGTGAATTTGTTCTCAATCCTATCTTTGTTTATGATTTATTAAAATTGCATAAAAAAGGGGAAATTAACGATCAGTATTTTAAAGAAATACAAATGATACAAATCTGATAACAGGGCTTAACAAGACTCCTTGGAAATTTTAGAGAAGGGATCGGGTGGCTTGGACAGATAAGCATCCTACGTTGACCGGTTACACCCACCGTAAGCCCCATGTACAGATGAACTGGGTAATCCTTTTTAAATTGAATATATACAGAAAGCAATAATCTTTAAACGATATCAATCAGGCAGTTAAATTAAACATATGGAAGCAAAGACCTAACAATCAGTATGATAAGCGTCGGCCAAAGTACTTACCCAATGCTAATATATTTAAGATAACAATGTCATTATGGGGGTTATTTACAAACTACTTATTTTAAACTTGGTTGTCAAAACCCTTGTATCATAAACTTATTTGTCAATAGCTTAACTCCATTTAAAAATTATCGTACTTGAAACATGCTCTTGAGTATCGAATAAGTTGCATGACGTAATCACAATGCAGATGATAGCAGAATACCGGAGTATAAGTAATAAGGGTAGTTGACGATGAAAAATTTATTCAATTTTTAAAAAAAAAGTTAATGGTATCTTTCAGTTCTTAAAAAAAACATGTTTATAAATGTAAACTATTAAGCACAATGTAATCTGCTGTTATTTTTGAAACATTTCAACTTTCTACGAGTTTCAAAAACAGCACAAAGTTTTAAAACTAACAATAAGTGAAATATTTTAAACATTTCTCTTGTAAATGCTCTGAGAAAAACAATAAAACTCGTTCTCAAAATATTAGCTCTTCTAGACCTTTCTCACCTTCCCCCAAACAGCACAACCAAGGCTGTTAAAAAGTCTTATTTTACTTTAACTTCAACACTGAAGCGTCAGAAAATTGTAATTTCTGCTAAATGTCTTATAAGTATTCTGCTAAAGAGTCTAAAAATGAGATTATTCGTTAATAACTACTTTTACAATTTTTTCTGCATTCCTAAATTGATAATGTCAGATTTTTTATATATACGATAGTCTAATCAGTCTTTTTTTGTTTTTTTTTTAATTTATAACTTATTAATGATTTAAACATTGCCTTTCGCCATTTATGTAAGGGATGCCAAGGTTTTGCTTTAGCCTTTAAATGTTTATAAAAATTAGGAAAGGCATTTAATGTAACATAAAAATTATTTTAAATGGACAATGAAATCAAGCGATGACATTATTTATGGCTTTACAGATAATCGATGTAAGCATATTCCATCAACGCTATTGCCTTCTCAATCAACGTGAATGGAAAACTTTATAATGTGTTGTTATTGTCTAAAATCATTGAGGTTAAGACGGTTAAAGGTAATTTATTGTCATTTAGACGTATGAGGAGACAAAGGTCAACGAAAATCGAGGAAGTAAATTCCAGTGAGCAAAATATATATTAAAAAAATAAATACTGAGTAAATAAAATAAAAATGAAATAAAAAAAATAATATTGATTAAAAAAAATCTGGAAAAATGTAAACGTACAAATAATATTCGAAGAATATGCATATGTTTACTTTTATTCCGAGATTATCTGATAACATCTGAATACATTTACCAGGAAACTTGAGTTTTGATTAATGAGCACGAATTAACAAACATTTTTTATTTATTAGAATTACATTGTTTATTTGTATTCTTTTAAATGATGATATATTCATTTAAAAGACATTTTCAGGAACATTTATAATAATTTATTTGAGTTATATAATTTATTTTTTCAAAGTAAGAAATATACGATTAAATATATCTACAATAAAATTTTCACAAACTCTTTAGGCAAAAAAATTGCACGTCTCTTCTTTTTTGTTAAATGTATAGATGTTTGAAATTATATGCAATCACTTTTTACATGTGGTATATTTAGATTGACAAAATAAAATATTTTATATTCTTTATTTTTATTCATTCTTTTAATCAAATAACTCAAAACTCCAACAATTTTCGAATAAAAGAAAAAAATCTTGTGATCTCTGAAACACGTGCTGCCATAGAAGATAAACCAAATATATTTTTTTGGTTTTTAATATTTTTTAGCATTCTTGCATTAGTTAGGAAAAATCTAGAAAACATGCAGTTATAATAATTAATCTAGAAAACATGAAGACATTTTTATAGAATTGATTTGATAAAGATTTTGTTCATAATTCCTGCTAAAATTAAATCTTTTTAAAAATCGAAAAAGACGAGGGAAAAAAAATCACGATTTATTCATTTTTTTTTCTTGGGATTTAATTGTCCAGAAATTAATTTTTCGCAAACAAATAAAATTCACTGTGATTCTTAATTTTCTGATGTTAAAACTTCGTATTTTCAAGAGAGACTTTTGAAGTTTACGAAATCTTTCCTATCAGAGTGTTTTTGTAATTTAGTAGCAGTACTGCTAGTTTTCTACTGTTTGCAATGCAATATCTTCTGACTAAATGATATTTTGTCCTACATAAGAAAATATGTACATTTTAACCCGGAGGCGATATTTTCAAGTGTTTATTTCATAGAGTAAACCTGCTAAAATTGTGTAATTTTGACAAGCCTCAAGTTCAGTAACTGATTCTTTTTATTTGATGTAAATACTGTTTTGAGATTCTCTAGTTTTTTGCAACAAGTATTTTAAAAAAAATTCTAAGCATTGGCGAAAAAAGTGTTTCTATCATGACTTATATGATACCCAAATATGAATATCCCTTTTCTCGGTTCTCTGCAATTCACAGGACAATTAAATTGCAGAAAATGTTGCATTTTTGTGTATAATTAAGAGGTGTAACTTTTTCCCGGAAGACTAAATTAATTTTGCATGTGATAATTAAAAAGGCAGGTTCTTACGACCGTTACGTTGTACTAATGACAATAAATTAGTGTAATGATGTAAAACTAGCGGTCAGTTTAGAAGTCTTAAGTACAATGTGTAGTTGTTTTTGTTAGTGGTCATATACCTGTCAAGTAAGGTCAGACCCGGTCAAACGGTTCCGCCATCTTTTCCCACAAAACAGGTGTATTGTATCATTAGCCTAACGACCCACCCATCAATCAGGAGTTACCGCGGAATTAGGAAAACGTCTGCTATAAAAGTCCGCCACAATCGGGGTCTGCTGCACATTGCCAAAGATCCAGAAAGGTAAGGTATGTGTTCCATCATATGTATGCAACAGGGATATCTTAGAAATATTTTAATTGCTTTTAAGCATGCGAAAAATTATCATACTTTTTTTTAAAGTGAGCTTTATTTACAGTCCAAGCAGAATAAGATTTTTTTTAAAAAAATGATTTCATAGAAAAAATAATTAATTGAATTAATATAAGCTCTTTTGAGAACTATAGTAATAAAAATAAGTTCAAATATCTTTTTAAATACCATATATATATATATGCTTTTTTTTTTACCTGAAACATCAACATATATATAAAAAAACCATATTCTCTCAGTGGCAAAGGAAGTATCAAAGATATAGTAAGAAGTGAAATAAGAAGCTAGAGAGTTAGTGAGACTCTTGCTTATGTAAAATTGTCTAAAAAACTAATATGTCATAAATATTTTAAATAATGCAAAATTTTGCAGAAAAGGAAAACTCTATATAGGCAAAACAAAAAGAACATTTAAGGTGGCTAAGAAAATAAAGCTTTGCCTGGAAAAACCGCACACGTTTGTTAATTAGATATTAATCTTACATACATTAACAATTAATATACCGACATGGAATCATAACGGTATTTTGGGCATTAGTACTATATTGTCGTAATGCATTGTTAATGTATAAACTAGTATTTTGGTTAGCTTTGAGGCTATTCAGCAGGTCATAGCCAGGTACTTAACAAGACGTTTTTAACACAAAAAGCAATTAACCTTCTGATATGTTTGGTTTAATGACGAGGAAATTATCGCTAATTAAGATGGATCCGTAGCAATAGATTTGGGTAAAAATGTTCTCTCTATGCATGCTATAAAGAAATTTCTTCCAGATAAATGCATATAACTCATTTTTTTTTAAATGACAAAGTATGTATGCAAGTTTTGCTCCATAATATCAATATATGCATTCAAAATTGCTAACGTACAATCCTTTTTCAAAAAATGCAATCTGACCTTCTTCTACAATTTCTTTTTATCCAATCTACCTACACTTTGTACTACAAAACCCTTGCTTAAAACATGCTAGTACCGAACATGCTGTTAATTTATATATTTCAGTTTAAAATGTCGTCATCAGTTATCCTCCTTTGCTGCCTACTAGGCGTCGCCATAGCAACCCCTTACTATGGCGGAGGATGGAATGGCGGCTGGAATGACTGGGATGACGATGACTATTACAGAGGTGGATACATCGGCTTCCGGGGCCCATACGGGGGCAGGGGAATAATTGGTGGATACGGCTACGGTATGAATGGCTATGGTAGAGGAGCCATAGGTGGCGCCTATTATAACCCATACTCCGGTCGTGGAGGAATCGGAGGTATCCGTTACGGATACGGCAGCGCTGGTTATCCATATGGTGGTGGATACGGTGGTATCGGGGGCGGATACGGTGGTATTGGAGGCGGATACGGAGGTATCGGAGGCGGATACGGTGGTATCGGTGGAGGATACGGAGGTATCGGTGGCGGATATGGTGGTATTGGAGGCGGATACGGTGGTATCGGAGGTGGATATGGCGGATACGGAGGAAGAGGTTACCGTGGAGGTATCGGTGGATATCCCAGTTATCGAGGAGGAATCGGAGGATATCCAAATTACAGACCTAACTATGGCTACAAAGGTAAGAAAAGATACTAGTAACTTGATTTATGAGAGTACCGCATATAAACAGCAAATTATAATTAAATTATGGGAAGGAGATACCTTTGCTATTTAAAGAAATAAACATTATATAACCGTATTTCACAGATACAAAGAGTAATGCATAGTTTTTATTGATAAGAAAAGATTGAAAGTTTCCAATACTTGATAGAGATTTAAAGTACAGTGAGCCTCAAACAATTCGGATGTTTTATCATTCTCGTAAATATTTTATTTTTATTCTCAGTTACATCCAACATGATGAAAATGTATTTTTTTCTTTTTCCAGGAAAGAAGAATGTGTACTAATTACTCTATAAATTGACATTAAAGCATTCAATGTACTTATTTATTTATTAACATCTGTATTTTTCACAGAATAAAATAATGAAAATGTGTATTTGCAAAAGAGTTCGTTATATTTTCTTTTGGGATTAGAAATAGTTTCTAAATGTAGAGAATTTTGACCCGTCGACGGGGAATGCTTACTCCTGCATGGCCCCCAGATCCCACTTCTGATATTTTAAGAGATCCATGTTTGCTTTGCTCTCGATATATCTTTTTCAATGGAATTTTGAGCTTGAATACTGTTCGTTAACTTATCTCTATTTCTTTTGAAAAGTCAACGGATAAAACAAATTAACCCTTAAAAAGTTACTGCGTTGCTACAAACTACACACAAATGTTTTTGAACAAATAGAAGCGGATTTGCTATTCTCCTGGCTAGGAAAAAACCGAATTTATATTGAATTTTTTTAAATATACTTTCATCACCTGCATACGGGGTTTATATCTCTCAGTTGATTTGATACACAAGGGCCTGTATAAACAATTTTAAAAACTCGATAAAGTTATTGACAAACAAGTTGCTGAAACAAGAATATCAGCAGTCTCGTTTCGTAAGTTCTATGGTCAGATAAGATAAGTTAATATTTATTTAAAGTCGGGTACATCAACAAAAATATTAGCTCTGAAGTGTTATTTCTGATAACGGAATACAGTGGTGGATACAATTACCTTGTCAGCAAATAAATGTATCACTGAGTCAAATGCTGATTTACGATTTTCATACTTATTGTTAGACCATTATTTACACACTGAATTGTCGACGGATTTTTTTCCCATATTTCTCAATCATGACAAGGAGCACATGGCTGGTGTGACCTGTCGGCAGGCTATACTCACTCCTTCATGGTACAAATTGATCCCATCTCTGATGTATTGGAGGACCATGTTTACTCTTCTCCTATTTTGTAATGTTTAATGAACTTTTTTTTTAATCTTTAAAAAAAAAAACTGTTCGTTATCTTCAAATATTTCAATTTTCTTCCTTTTCATTACTTTTGATTATAAAGCCATTTGTAACTCAAATTTGAAAGAAGTGTGAAAAGTCAACCGTTTCATGGCTCTTTCACCCCTATGTAAAATATGGATCGATAAAATACATTTTAAACTTTCCATCCACTTTTTATGCACGATTTATAGAAATGTATCAGACTAATGAAAATACAGTTAATTACATTTTATCCATGAGAATTCATTCTTAATTGTTTGCAAAACTGACAGTCGCTATTTTCAATTCCTGCTTTCTAACTTAAATTATATGAAACAAAGGTATTTTTGAGTGAAATATATGGAGAAAACGAACAGTATTCACACCCAAAAACCATTCAAACAATAAAAATCAGAAACAGAGCAAATACGAGGCTCCAAAACATCAGAGGTGGGATCAAGTCCCATGGAGAAGAGAACATCACCTGCCTACCGGTCACATACGCCGTGTGCTCCTTTTCATGTTCAAGATAAAAAAAAATCCATACACAATTCAGTGTATGAATAATGGTCTAACAATTAGTGTGAAAAAGGTCAAAGTAATAAACTTTCGAAAATGAATCAAATAACTTGCATAGTTTTAAAACATCCATTGTTAGTGACAACAGTGATCTCTATAATTTTAAATACATTTACTATATATATATATATATATATATATATATATATATATATATTTGTAAATGTTGATATTAAAGAGAACTGTTTGAATAACCTTTCACATCAACTAATTTGTTTTTCGTCGTCATAGATGTAACAAGCTTTTTACAGACTGAACCAGTTAAGGGGATATATAAGCCATATGCAACTGAATATCGAAAAATAAATAAAGGAAACAGAAAATAAAATTATAGATGATCATTTTTATGATCATGTATTATATCGTTTGCGTGATAATGTTACAAACACCACTTCTTGAATATGTTGTAGCACGCTACTTTCAATTTTATTACATCTAAAAGTCCCGAAAATGCAAAAAAGTATTAGTGTAATAAGTTATCAAAATATCAAAAATTAACTTTGTTTACTATTAATATAAGCGTGATCTTATAAGATTTTCAATGGTTATTAATTTTTCTAGTTTTACAATTCGACCAATTATCATACCACATTACACCATTAAAAAAGAAATTAAATACAAATGTGGTTAAGATGTGTAACTCCTTCTCTTTTTTATTGAAGCACCGGCGATACAATGTAAAACAAGAGATAATTAATTTTGGTAATTAATATGGACAACTGAAAGAAAAACGAAATCTTGTAATGTGTAATCACAACCAAGAAACCTAGACAACTATCTGATCTTTTTTTATATATAAAAAAAAGACCATGTCTGTTTTTGGTCACAATTTCTAAAAACATTTCAAATGTACAATAAGTTACAATGGATTCTCATTACCTCAGACACAAGACAAGAAACATTTAATAATTAATGTTAGCTTATCTTGATAAGGCCATGACCCCTTTATCAATATAAAAATAAAACTGTAAAATACATGAATTACCAATAGCATAAAGTCAGGATGAGTAGCTTACTCTGCCTCCTTGGTCTTCTATTGAGTATCGTCTGCGCCTACGGAACATTTGTACCGTACATAGATACGACGCCATCCCAGATAACGGATTACTCCGGATCTTTCAGCACGGACACCGGAATTAATTACGCACAGGACTTTGCAGGAAGCGGGTTGTTTACAGGCGGTGGGTCTTTGGCGGAACCCAAAATGCAGTCTCCCTCGGAAATTTACCCTTCTGTTCAATCACTACCCGTCGGTGCTACTGATTCAAACCTTTCACCATTTATACCAGGGGGATTTCCAAATGATAACAACAACCCCATTTTAGCTCAAGGATTTTCATCTCCCTATGTTGGTAACTGGCAGTCTTCATTTGGTTGGCAGGGGTTTGGAATACCGGTGGAAGGACCCACAACTTTAAATGCAGGAACAATAGGGTTTGTTCATTTCATGTAATAATGATACATTATCTTCATAAGTATTTTAAAATCCATAATGGAAATGTCATACAAAGATTTTAACCCATGTTTTTTTTCGTTTATTTTAAATGTACATGTATTTTATAATACTTTTTTATGAAAAGAACCTCATATTCAAGAAAATATTGATGTTTAAATCTGACAATTTTCATCACACTATTAACAGTTCCCTGACCCATTCCCTTCCTGAGATTCATAAAGTCAAAACTTTAATGTTAGTCCCAGCATCAAAAACAACATTGAATTAAATGAATTTTATATTGTAAAAATTATCTTTCTTTCCATTTAGCTGAACAAGTAGATAATTAACAGTCTAACAAAATTGTAATATATGTTTATTTTAAAAACAAAATTTACCGTTATTTTGATTGTGACAAGGAATGTCCAGGACTCGAATTTAACAAAAGCACCTGATCCAAATTCTGGAATTTCAAGGATCCCTGTTTATGCCCTGTTCAAAGATTTATATTGTTTCTATGAGATCATTCAATGTTTGCTATCTTTACCCTTTTTCATTTAGAAGTAATGAAATCGGATTTGCAAGTCAGCTGTCGAGCCCGACCTTTGGAACAAGTTTCACGAGTCCATCATCTGGATTCTCGATCGGGAACGGTTTTGCTGATAATTCCTTAGAATCGGGTTTCGGAAGTAACTTACTTTACAATAGAATGGGAGATAATTCATTTACTCCAAGGTTAAACAGTGTTCCTGTTGGTCTTGGAGGCAGCAGTACTCTGTACCCTGACTTTGGAGGGAATTCGATTGATTCCACATTTGGCGACACTTCTTTCAGCACGACTGGTGGTTTGTCTGGAGTCTTGAGCACAGCAGTTAATGATATATCATCTACTTTGATAAAGAGCTTTGGTTCAGCTGATATCACAAACAATGAAAGTAACAACAACATATATCATACAGGTATAATATCTGTCTCTTTCTTGATAGCCAAATACATGTATACGCTAGATTATAGGTTTGTCATTCATGAAATTTCGGTAATACTATTCATTTCTAATCTCTCTACCTAATTTTAATGTATATATTCAATAGGTATTTCCATGTGTATTGTGCTGATTTATAATCATTTTCTTTAAATGGAAATTGTTTATTTCATTTTTGTAGGTTTTCCAATGAAATTATTTTGAGCGTACATTCAACTCTTTGTAACCCAAAAAGTATCAAGATTATGGAATTCATTCTATCAGATATATTCAATAAAACATACCAAAGAAAGTGAAAAAAATACCAAAGAAAGTGAAAAAAATTGTAAAAAATAAAGTTTTGACGATCTAATATGTTTTTAAGCTAACAAATGATGCACGAGATAATTTTACAATAATGATAAACAATCAATATAACAAAAAATTGTCTGTGACTATTAAAAAGCAAAATTTTTCAACATTATGTTTCAAATTTATACATGTATTTTTAAATTTTTTGATTTATCCAATACTTTATTTAAAAAAAGAAAATCTGTAAAAAGATATACTATTTTCTCATAATGTTCACAGAACAAATGGTCCTTTTTAATGATCGTAAACACAACACCTGACGGGCCTCGTCGCTTCTGTTTTGTACACATTCCATATACAACTGTCACTCATTCTATCCGCGAATTCCCTTTACTGCTCAATAGGACATTTACATTATGTACAATATCTATTAAGTGAGTAAAAAAGCTTTTGAAATATTTTAACATATTTAATCAAGAGAGAAAAAGAAAGCATGAATAAAGTGAGAAGAAAAAATTGCCTTATAGAACAATAATAATTACAACGAACAGTTAATCATCAACCTTAACAGTCAATTGGAACAATACAAATCAATGCAAATGTCCAAAAGCATCAGAGGTGGAAAGATACGAAATTACAATCACCAATGAATATTAAGTAAACTAATAGAAAATGTTATCAGTAGGGTTATTTCACTCTCATTCTTCAAATTTAAAAATCAACCAGTCATTGAGTTCAAAAATACAAATCCAACCGGAATCAATCCAAATCCATCCAAGATCTACAACAGGTAAATAAATATAAATATTATAAAAGAAATATTCACCTTGGAAAAATGTTAAAACTGATTATTTCTTCAAAGCAATTTCTTCAACTTTGATTTTAAAGAATTTTGAAAAGAATGATTTGTACCACAACTTATGCATTTTTTAAAGAAGAGTATAGCATACTTTAAAAAAATAATTTTAAAGAAAATAATTGTTTATTTACCCTTTAAACAATTTTATTGAATAATTCAATATATAGGAATTATTATGGAATTAGATATCTATATTTGTTTTTATTGCATATAAATATGAAACGTCATCACTATGATATTATATTATCAGATCAAACGAATGAATACTTACGCATAATTTCTTCCCCATGTTATCCAAATTTGCCTCCAAAAGTTCCTCCAAGAAGACTGCCTCTTAAGTTTTGTCCAAGGAGTCTACCCGAATTTATTCCAAGAAGACTACTTTCACCAAAAAGTCCTCCACCAAGGTTTCCTCCAAGAGGTCCTCGACTTCGAATACCAAATCCACTGAACGGATTCTGTCCTCCGAACATCCTGTTGTATGTGCCACTGACTCCAACAGTAGGGTAGAACGTGTACCCTCTGTAGCCGTTGCCAAGGTAATATGGACCGGTTCTTAGCAAGTCTACAAAATTTTCTCCGGGTCTGAAGGGGTTACCGAGGGGAAAGTGCATGGTAAGGGAGGTAACTCTAGGAGGTAAAGATTCTACATATCCAGTGTTAAAATTATCGTATGGGAAGCCCCAATTCCTGGCAGTCGACAGACCGAAAAGAGAAAGAAGAACAAAAACAAAGTTCCTCATCTCGAAGTTGGTTTTTTTTCTGAAATATAATAGAGCTTTAAATGAGGAGTTTGAATTTAAATATAGATGGTTCTTAGATTAGAGTCAAAACACATATAAAGCAGCAAATTAACAATATCTTTTAGATAATAAGCTACTTATGAAAGGATTTCATATTTATACTGCAATGAAATTTTATAAAAAAAACATTTTAATAATCAAGAGAGCAACCTCACCACTCGTACACCGCTTGAAAAAATAGGGAAATATTAAATACCCTTCATTTATGTATTACGTAAAACTCAAACTCATTATATACAAGAGCGACTGATGTTTGCAAGTGTTCAGCTATCGTAACATCCATCCCAACAAGCTTCATTCTTGTGGAACATAATGATCACGAATCGATTATTGTAGTTTTTGTTCTAATTAATGAATTTCAACATGACCTATATGCATTTTGATAATGTATAAAATATTGTAACAATCTTGTTAAGCATATTTGATCATGTTTTAGATTGAAATACAGGAGAAAATAACAGAAAACAGGAGGTCACCAACCTCAGCAATATAGTTACAGAATGGTCAATAATTTTCATACATGTCAGAATGACAAATGTATGTTAGTTTATCGATTTTTACATGGATTACTTTCATTTATTACATGAATGGTCACTAATTTTCATGCATGTCAGAATGATATATATATATGTATATGTATATATTCTCTATATATAAATTAAGGGAAAGAAACTTAGCCTTTTATGGTAAATTATAGATGACAAACACTAATTATATAAAACAAGTTCATACAGAAATTTTGAATTAGGGTTTCCAATATATGATTATCGCCTGTGGCATATATATATATATATATATTTTTGGTTTTCTTTATATATATAAGGTCAATTATGTTTCAAAAAATTAGATAATTCTCCATATAAAAGAGAAAGATATATACACGTATATATATTACATGCTAAATATTAATGCAAATAAAGCATAGGCTTTAAAAAACTATATATATATAATATATTATATATATAAATCCACTCTGTTAAAATTTGATCAAGTATATATATACTTGGATCAAACGTATATACATATATATAACAGATTTTTTTTAACAAACACTATTTATAATTTGATTTCTTGTGTTTTCTATAAATAAATTGAACTTTAAAAAAATGTTTTTTTAAAATTAGATATATACTATATATATAAACCTCCCATCATATTTCTACAAGAGTTTACAATGTTTTACAGTTATCAATTTACTTGTTCATATTTAAACTTTTATACCCGGGTATATAAAAACGTATATATAAAAATTGATATCCCTATATATATATATATATATATATATATATATATATATATATATATATATATATATATATATATATATATATATATATATATATATATATATATATATATATATATATATATATATATATATATATATATATATATATATATATATATATATATATATATATATAGTATGGATATATATATATATAATATATTGACAAAATATTGTCGATATATATACCCTTATACTACATATATATATGCATATATATATTGCGGCAATATCGTTTTTCGTATATATATATATATATAATATATATATATAATATATAAAGCTTTTGCTATTATTTGAAAAGACAAATGTATGTTAGTTTATCGATTTGTACATGGATTACTTTCATACATACAAAGTAAGAGAAAGAAACTTCAGCCTTTTATGGGAAATTATGAAGATGACAAACAGCAATCGAGCTGCAAAGTCAGTTAAAATAATACAAAGTGAAGGCAGATCAATCACAGAATTATAAAAACATCAGAGGTAGAATCAGGTACTATATAGGAGTGAGTTTCCCTGTCTACCAGCCACATCTGCCGTGTGCTCCTTGTCAATGTTGAGCAAACAGATAAAAAGTCTGTGGACCTTAAAGTGTGTAAGAAATGAAAAATGTTAATCTTGAGATCATTTTGTTTAATGATAGATTTTCATTGCTGTCATTGTTTCGACACAAAGTTTCGAAATGTTTCCTGTAAACAAGACTGTTGATATTTTTCACCACCTTGTTTGCGAAAAACTTGTCTCATTTTAAAAACCGTTCGCACAAAGAGCTTGCTCTTCTGTCTCGAATCAACCGAAGAAAAAAAACCCCATATACAGATGAAAATGGTATATAGCTACAAAGATAAGGGAAGTTGACAGTAGAACAGTTAGCCATCAGGTTTTATTGTTTTATTAGTAAAATATCTAAATATGAAACAGGTGAGTCGGAGTTCAGTGGTTATATCGAATCAACGTAGAAATAAGAATGAACTTTGCTAATTGACAAAATATTGTCGATACATATGAATATTTAATTGATGCGCAAAATAAGATGCATCTTTTTTTCATGTAATTTTAAATTCTGCTTCATATGAATACAAAAATATCTGCTTTTCACGGTACCCAACTGGTGCACATGGAATTCCAGCAGATTGTTGGAAGATCTATTCTCTCTAGACTATCGTCAATCAGATAGTGTCAATCAGAAACTCAAGCATCTTTTATCAAATTTGGAGTATTTGTATTTACATAACGTTTAAAAATCAAAATAATGACTAATGAAAAAGTAGGGCAAAGTATATGTTGTATAGTTCCGTAGATCTGTTTTTCATTTAAGGAAGCTCTAAACACTAAAAGAAACTGTTTTTTGGACCCAGAGAAAAATATATCATATAAAGATGTGCATATCGAGAACTTTTCATTCTTTTAGAACATAGGGTACGTGCCTTATTTGGTCAGAAAAAATGTTCAAAGACAATGAACTATTTGTGAGCAGAAATCACTGTTGTTTACTTACATTGGGAATATTAAGGAAATAATCAATTTTATTTCTTACTCTTGGTCTTATATAATGCTGAAAATATTTTAATCTATTATAAATCATATAATTAACTGTAAATAACAATTTCTTTTAATCTTACATCAAAGGGCAGATCACTCTAACTGCATAAAACTACCCTATAAATAGAGCTCTTTAGTGTGCAGTGTTTAGACATCCTTAAAAGTTGTTTTATGATGTAAAATTTATCGCGTGGAATAGATATGTTAAATGTTGAAAAATCGTACTCTTTGATTTTATTGTTTTTGGTAAAGGTTATAAAGTAAAACTGAAGGACCCTCAGATCAAAAAGGGGAATAAGATGAGTAAAAATTGTCTGATCAAGATTTCATTTATTTTTAAAATTCTGACATATTATGATGAAAACGTTTTTATTAGATTAAATTAGATTTTCAATGGTTGGTTTACGCGTACGTATTCGTTAACACTGGATGCCACAACATACTAAGTCAACTTTTAAATTTCATTTTAAAAAGTAGACATTTAAGGAATCAGCTTTCTAACCAAAATATATGGAGATAACGAGCAGTATTCAAGCTTAAATATCCAATAAACAATATGAATCAGGAGCAGAGCAAACATGGATATTCAAACTCTAAAATATCAGAGTTAAGATCAGCTGCCAAGGAGGAGTGAATATCCCCTGCCGATCACAACTGCGGAATGTTCTTGTCATCGGGAATCGGGAAATAAGGAGAAAAACGTCTTTTTTAGTATGTAAATAATAGCCCAACATTTAGTATTAAAAAAGTCGGTCAGAATTTGACTTAAGGTAGGATTCTTCTCTGGTTTCTGACTAGATGAAACATTCAATGTATATTTGCTGATATGTCTTATATATTTCGGTGAAAGAGATTTAAAAGACCATATTTTTCTTTCCTCATCACAATTGTACAACTTTAAATAGAAATGGTAAACTGTGTTTGAAAACTAGCAGGGACTATATTTTTGGCGGAATAGTGGCGTATGAAAATATCTTCTTTTCTGTCTCTCAAAATTATTATAGAACAGTGAATTTAGTTATAATTTTTACACAATCAAAGACATGAAGAATTTTTCAAATGTTAGCTAAATTAATTATAAGGGACTAAAGTTTTAAAATATATCAAATAAATACGATTTTCCAAACAGACTACAATTATGTTAGCTTTTAAAAGCTTCCAATCTAAGTACAGATATGAGCCCAAAATCCATAGAAAGTGTTTTTACTCTCTTATCAAACGGTCAAAACTTTTTTGTTTTTGTATCATTTTGTATCTCTATATGACTTCTCTGCCATATGTGAAAATAAGAAAAAATTTAAATATAGGACGCATATAAAAACTTATGTATCCCCAAAAAATTAAGAAAAATAGAGAAAATTCGGATCAGCCAAAATCCATTTTTGTCAAACTATTTGCATCAATTTTCGTAATATAATCTAATAGACTTTATATGGAAATATCTTTTTATGCGAAAAGAAAAAAAAAAACATTTAATCTTTTGAAATAGAAGACCGTATCACATGATTGGATGCAGTCATTTTCATTCTTAATGTCCAGGGAAAAGGTAATGACCTTGACCTGACCTTGACTCTAATATAAAACGGTCAAAATATATCTAACTGATACCATCTCTTAGTAATATTGTCTTCTTGATTCTGTGAAAATTTCATTAATTTTTTAATACAAGAAACACAGTTTTGTGCGAGAAGAATCCTACCTTAATGATAGATTTTATTGCGGACAATATCATTGTATCGACCAAAGAACTTACAAAATGATGGCTTTAAACGAGACTGCTGATATTCTGGTTTTACCAACTTGTTTGTAAATAATTTACCGGGTTTTAGAAATTGTTTGTACGTAGATCATTCCCTTCCGTATCGAATCAACCGAGACCTCGTATTCAGATTTATTGCTGCACAAGTAAGGGAATTTGACGATTGAAAAGTCGAAGTCAACACATATTAACTTAATTTTGGTTGTTAAATGACCGTTAAAGTCTTTTTCTGGTAAAATATCCAAATATGAAACAGATTTGTCAGAATCTGTGGTATCGATCATATCAAGCTAACCGGGATATATAGTATCGGCAAAAGAATGGAAAAATCGTTGTTAATTCAGGGTTCTCCATC